GCCTTCCCCGTCCTCCCGGCGCTCCTGGAGTTCCTCGGAGAAGAGAGGCGGAGTTGCGCTTTCGCTCTGCTCCGAGGGCGGAGGGGAAGAAGGGAAAGGGAGGGCGCAGGACGACCGGCGGCGAAAGCCCTATGGGGAGAGCTGGACGCTCGCAGGCGCTCTGACCCGCGGGGGCCGCGCTCGCCGCCTTCTCCCGGGAACGCGGCTAAGCAATTAACGCTGACGAAGATGGCTCGGCCGTGGTTTGCTTAATCGTGATTTACTGACTAAACCGCAGTAAAACTGTGTATGGCAAAGGGCAGGGACTGGGTTCCTAGCACAGCTGCAAAACCGAACTAGCCCCATTATGATAATACTCTATTTTAGAGTGTACTTCTGTATTAAGTTTAAAGATGTGACCGAATATTTCAAAATCGTATTAATGGAGAAATGTGAACTAAAATAAGTAGCTCGCTCTCAGATCCACCCCCCCTCACAAAATTGCAATATAAATTGCCCCATTTCCTTTTATTTCTTTGATCCACTACATTCCGTTATAAAATCCATTTATTTCTCACAAAACTTGATTCTAATGGAACTCAGTCCAATTTTTCCCACCGGAGAGCTCTCCTTATTTTCTACGAGATTTCTTTAGCGTAACTTGTTTCTGTGAAGTAAGTCACACACAATATAAGTGGTTTTACTTTTGAGTAAAGGATCCATAGGATTGTTATATACCATGAAAGAGCAACAGTGTAAGAAAAACTGAATTATTAAGTGAAAAATGAGATGCAGTATAGGTAGTCTTCGACTTATGACCATAATTGAGCCTGCAATTTTGGCGTGATTGATTTTACTACTGATTACCATGTGACTGATTGTATGTTGTATGTTGAACCCTTATGAAGGGAGGGACCCATGCAAAATGCCTTTACAAGAAGGCACTTGTGTAACAAGATGTATCTCTTTTCTTCCTATGGAATGTGCTTATTTGGCCTGTGCTGGCTGTGGAAAAAAGCCTGAAATAGCTCCAATGGAACTCAAGCACAAAAAAAAAAAAAAAAAAAAAAAAAACAAAAACAAAAAAAAAAAAAAAAAAAAAAAAAAAAAAAAATCAGAATCGTAGCTTGTGTTTATATAATAGTGAGGTTGTGAAGAGTAGGCATGACTTAGTGACTGAACAACAAGATATAATGCTGGGAGAGCCTTCAGATGGTCACTCATGCCTTGGTGATCTTATGATTATTGCATTATTGCATGTATAAGTACATGGGCTGCCCTTGAAGACTATCCGGAAGCTAAACTGGTTCTAAGTGGGAAGCTAAACATGGGCCCCTTTCAGTGTGTCCATATAGCACCACCGCTGTGCAAGCTGCACTGGCTGCCAGTCAGCTTATGGGTGCAATTCAAAGTGCTGGTTGTTATCTATAAAGCCCTGTTTGACAGAGGGCTTGAATATCTGAGGGACCACCTTCTTCCAATCATTTCTGTCCACCCAGTACACTTTGGCAGAATGGGTGTAATCCAAGTCCCTACCATTATATATAGTCATCTTGTGGAACCAAGCAAGTCCGCCTTCTGTGCACCAGCCCCTATTCACCCAGAGATCAAAACTGCACCAGAAAGCTCTGAAAACTTGGCTCTAGTCCCAGGCCTATTAATCTTTGTCTAGGCTCTAGGGCAGTGGTTCTCAACCTTCCTAATGCTGCGACCCTTTAATACAGTTCCTCATGTGGTGGTGACCCCCAACCATAAAATTATTCCTAAGACTATTGAAAATATGTGTTTTCCGATGATCTTAGGCGACCCCTGTGAAAGGGTTGTTTGACCCCCAAAGGGGTCGCGACCCACAGGTTGAGAACCACTGCTCTAGGGCTTTTGTTTTGTTTGATTTTTGTTGTCTGTAAGATTATTTCAGTCTGGGCTGTCTATTTGGTTTAATGTTTTTATCTATTTTAGTGTTTTTTCTAGCTTTTTTACTCTATCCAGAATAACCAGCTTAAGATGATTATTAACCCAGTTATAATTCCATATTGTTGGATCTGGCCGTGCCCAAATATAATAGCTAAGGGTTACTAGTTTAAGAAATTCAAAGCCAGTATCCATTAGCCAGGTAGCAGTAGGCATGGAGCTGAATTTATTCAGCTGTATCCTATAAGGTGGCCAAGAGGAGTTTTTCTGGTGACATTGGGGTAAATAAGATTTAATTTTGAAAGTCCAGAAAGAAAAAGAGGGAGGGCAATTGAAGGACTGTAATTCAGAAACTATAAAAGAAAGTAATGCTATTAGTAATTGTGTAACTATTTTTTTTTTTACTACCTTGGTAGATTCTTGGGAAAATGCTAAAAGATACTCCAAGGCAATGCATTACCACCCAGTATCAGTGGCTAGGGTGCAGGAGGGCTGCTATTGCCTTCAATTCTTATTGCAGGTTTCATACACAGTCAGCAACTGTACAATTATGAGTTTTGCTTGATCCAGTGCAAGTCATCGTATCCTGTTATGAACTTCAGTCCTGGTTCACAGTAATCGTGCCCATTATGTGAAGCCAGTGTCCTTTTGAGGAAAAAAGGGAAGCCAAGTACAGTAGGAACACAGCCGTTCTTGTCTCTCCTTGTCATCTGACCACATTGCACACCCCATTGCATAGTGGGTGTGATGCTTTCTTCCTTTTTCTTTCAGCACAAAGCAAAATTAGTTGCTAAAGGCTACTGACCTCATGTTCTTTGCATATGCTTTTTAAAGGCACTGATTGGCTCATGTCTTTGTGCTGAACTTTAAATCACATATTGTGGAAAGCCCCCCACCCACCCACCCCACCCCACCCCACCCCACCCCACCCCTAAGAATGAAATATTTTGGGGAATATTGAAGGAAGCAGAATATTATATTTCCCCAAAGGAAGGAATTTTATTTATTTTCATTTTATTTATTTTGTCAAGCATATATACAATAACAGGTAAAAGTATAAACATAATTTGAATACATGAAAAGAGTAAGAGTAAAAAGGAATATTAGGACAGGCACTTTGATGCATTTATGCACGCCCCTTCCAGACCTCTTAGGAATGGGGTGAGGTCAACAGTAGACAGTCTAAAGTTAAAATTTTGGGGGTTTGGGGAAGAAATCACAGAGTCGGGTAGTGCATTCCAGGCATTGACCACTCTTGCTGAAGTTGTATTTTCTGCAATCGAGTTTGGAGTGGTTTACCTTGAGTTTGTATCTATTGTTTGCTCGTGTATTGTTGTGGTTGAAGCTGAAGTAGTCATTGACAGGTAGGACATTGTGGCAGATAATTTTATGTACTAGGCTTAGGTCAGATATAAATTGGTGTAGTTCTAAGTTGTCTAAGCCCAAAATTTCAAGTCTGGTGGCATAAGGTATTCTGTTGCGAGCAGAGGAGTGGAGAACTCTTCTCGTGAAATATTTCTGGACTTGCTCAACTGTATTAATGTCCGATATGCAGTGCAGGTTCCAGACAGATGAGCTGTATTCGAGAATTGGTCTAGCAAATGTTTTGTATGTTCTAGTTAGTAGAACAATATTACCAGAGAAGAAGCTACGCAAGATTAGGTTAACAACTCTTAAGTGCTTTTTTGGCAATATTGTTACAGTGAGCTCTGGCACTTAGATCTTTAGAAATGAGTATTCCAAGGTCCTTGATAGAGTGAAGGTCATTTGTTGGTTGAGATTTGAAGTTGCCACTTGTTTGACCATCTGACACATAGTCAAGGTCTTTTTGAAGGGTAGTAGTATTGTCAGTGCTGTTGTATAGTTTTACATCATCAGCGAAAAGACAGAAAGCAGCCCCCAGTCTTTCTTAATAGCCTACAGCAGATGCTCATTAAGAAATCCTGGGCCAGCCTATTCACAAAATACCTTCACCTCCAGGTGATGGGGTTAAAGACAGGACAGGACCTTAACCCCATTCATTGAGAAAAGTGGAAACAATATCTGTCCATTTAGAAAGGCAGGCTAGAGGCAATAGATAACAGGATAAAATCAATTAATCAACACATGCCTGACAGGTTTAGGACTAAGGACTTATAATTAAGCGTCATCCAGAGCCTTTGCGAAACAAGTAAAACCAATCAAATAATAAAAACTCACAAAGCAACTCTCCAGATTACAAAATGCTGTAAAAAAAAAAAACACTGTATGAAAGCCCATGTAAAACCAAACCAATTGGTCAACTGCCCCAGAACTGCACGGTGTGGGTCTGTTGATCAATAAAGTCTTTCTTTCCAATCAGCCTCCATGTTATTTCCAGCATCTTTCTCCCAGCTTGGAACTGAACCAGATGGATTTTTCTTCCAATAATATCTAATGAGCAGCAATTGTATTTTGCTATGCTACAATTATCAGGTGTTATTTGCATCCACTACAGCTCTTGTGTAATTCATATATGGGTAAATTGTGGTCTGTTTTTGGCTAGGCCAGGTCTGGAAAACTTTAGAGGGCAACAGTTAGGCTGCTTTATATCTCTTTTCTTCCATTTGCTGTCCATACAGTTTTTTGCAGTTCTGGTGTTAAACCTCTACTTAGGTTTCCCAAAAAAATTTCTGTTTTTGAGTCCTATATAGGATTTGATTTCTAAACAGTTCACAGCTCTGCTATTTCAACATTCAACAGGAGCTATACTGTAATAATAAACAAAGGGGGGGGGGATCCTCGTATTTGAAATGCTAAAACATTTCTTAAAGCATAAAATTTTTTAAAGCATCTTGTCTGAAGATGCAGACACGGTCCCCGTTCAAACGGCATCGCTTTAAGGAGTTGCTTCAAATCAACTCCTTTCAGCGGCGGCTTCGGTGTCCCGCTATATAAAGACTGTGCCCGCTCACATATGGCCTCATATTGTAATTGCTGGGGTATTTATAAAAGAAGCCAATACTTATTTTGAATCGCCTGTTTCACCTGCAATAAAGCGGACACTAACATAACCTATCGGGGAGCTCTTAACTCTCTTTCCCATGATTTCCGATGCGCGCTCGTCATTTCCGACAAAGAGGGGCGGCGTCGTGAAAGCTCTTCGTCAGGGTTTTGTTGCCCTGTTCTTGCCTTTGAGCCGCCGCTCCTGTGCACTCTCGCTCGTTGGTGCAGACGACGGACTTAGCAGGAGGAACGCTCCCCTCCCTTTCCCCCCGCCCCGGCTTTTTGTCTTTTGGCCGCTGTTGACGTGGAGCTCCGGGTGCTTTGTTGTTTTGCGCGGCTGAGCACAGTCCTGCCGGGGCGGCGTTTGCGGTCGTAGGCCTGGGCCATTCAAGGAAAAGCCGACGCGATGAAAGGTAACGAGGGTTAGGGGCGGGAACCGGACCGAGAGAGGGTTACATTGAAAGCGCCATGCTTGAGACGCTGCCTTTGGAACTGAATTTATTTATTTATTTATTTTAATTTGATTTATATGCCGCCCTTCTCCGGAGACTCAGGGCGGCTTACAATGTGTTAAGCAATAGCCTTCATATTTTTGTATATTTATATACAAAGTCAGCTTATTGCCCCCACAAACTGGGTCCTCATTTCACCTACCTTAGAAAGGATGGAAGGCTGAGTCAATCTTGAGCCTGGTGAGATTCGAATTTACAGTAATTGCAGACAGCTGGTGTTAATCACAATGCTTTTTAGTCTGCTGAGCCACCAGCAGATATATACATATATCATATGTATATGATACATACATATTAAGTCAATATATTTTGACCACCGATTAGCAACAAACATAACATCCAAGACATGCATTTTAGTCACAGATATGGAAATGATTTATAGCCTATTTTTAAAGCATGATTTTATGCTGTATTTAATGCACGTTGCATATCTTCTGTTAAAACCATGCTACATCATTTCTTTTTCCTCCCCAGGTAAATTCCATAATTTTACATATGCTTTGAAAAAGTATCTTGTATTGTTTTGAATTTTCCACCGTTTTTCACTGTTGGGTAAATTGTAGTATTCCGTGAAGGAGAAATCATTTCTCTGCACTATACATATTGTATATTGTACACTATTCTTTTTAAGTCTATGCTATATTTATGTAGTACACATTCATAGATATTTATGCTAATCCGTACTGGGGAGTGAGGTGGGATTGGGATGTCGGCTGTCACCCAAAATGTAAATGAAAACTTTTTTTTGTTCATAGTTGATGCAAAAAGGCTCTGGAAGCACATGGAAAAAAATAAAGTAGACAATATATTTGGGTGTATGCATAAGGCACTGTTGTCTTTGCAGCAGAAGATCGAAGATGGAACTGCAACAAGTGAAGGTTAGACATCTTTGCAAACTATCACACCTAAATTGAGAAATTAGTGAAAGAAACTCATACTCAGTTTTGCAGGTATAATTAGTGACAAGTTAACTGTGCAATAATGTATAATGGTAGGGTTAGAACTGGATACAACAGCTATGCAGAGATTGCAGCTGAATCTAGTAAACAAATCTTATTTCTACTACAATGGTACCTTGGTACTCAACTACTTTGAAATTAATCAAATTTGGTACTCAACCCATTTTGATACGAAAATGTTGTCCCGGTACTCATGGTTTGTTTGGCACTCAATGCACAGTTTAGAACTTGGTGTTGGTTGCCTTGTGACTCACTACATTATTCCTTATGGGAATAATTTGTTTGGCACTCATCATTTTTGGTATTCAGCATGTCTCCCAGAACCAAGTAACGTTGTGTCCTGAGGTACCACTATACTGTGTGAATAAATTTTAAGTGCAGACCCGCACTTTCTTTCCCTGAGTAAGTTCAGCTCCCTACCCACCCCAAAAAGGGAAGACACTGCACCAAATGTGAGAGCCTATTTTTTTCTGCTGTTGGTCACATTGATTTCCTATAGGATAATTGGTAAGAGGTTGCATGCCAGTGATATGTGGGTGGACTGAAGCCAGTTTGCATGGAGCCACTCTTTCTGCTGTCTGCCTTGCATCTTTCTTTTTCCTTTCTCCCTTGTCCAGTGAGCTGTTGGGGAAAAGATCAGAGTACACTGCATGAGATTTACACAAGGCGTTTGCAATCCATGAATGTCCCTATAGATTTTTATTCTGAATTTACTAGAACTAATCCACCATTATCTCCTTTGAAAGTATATTGTGCACATATTTAAATAAACGACATTGCCTGTCCAGAAGTATTTTTTTAAAAATACAGAACAGTAATAGCTTTTCTGATTTTCAGCTCTTTGAAGAGAGATATCAGTTTAAGTGTGGAACCAATTAGGTGAAAATTTAGCATGTATCCCTTTATTCAGGTTATTTAATCAGATTCTTCTTGATCTTTATTTCTGTTTATTTGTGTGACTTATTGTCAGAGTTGACTCAAGTCATTGCAGTTTTCTTGGCAAAGTTTTTTTTGGGGGGGGGGAATGGCTTGCTATTGCTGCCTTCACAGGGTGGAGAAATAGTGACTGGCCCAAACTTACCCAGCTGGCTTCATGCCTGAGGCACAATCTCCTGATTGTGTCTTGGGCCTTAACAGCTACACCAAACTGGCTCTCTTGGTCTTTAATAGCAATGTTTTAATTTAGATTCTGCAGTGAGCAAATTTGTTGACCTTGATAGCTCCTTGCAGTTCTGTGAAAATAATAAATAGGAGAAAAAATGTATGTGTACATATGGAGCTTCTTTGTTCCAAAATATGTACCTGTATTTGATACTAAGAATGTAACAGACTATAAATTGGGAATCACACTTAAGTTTCAAAATGTTTGGAGGACTTCAGCTAAGAGATATCAATCAAAGGGACCATTTTACTTTTTATTAACATCTACATCATTTTAAAATGCTATATTTCAGTCCAGTTTTCTGTTTTTGTTATTTTGAACAGAATGCAACCAAGCTTTGGCACTTGTGAATCAGCTGGGTATGACTGACCTCTTACCCCTGGCGCATGGTATGAAAAATCTCATTGCTTTGCTATAACAGATGATGACATTTTTTCTTTCTACAGGCATTAGCCTCTTACCTAGCCAGAAGAAAAAGCCTGAGGAACTACTTTTCCTCATATATTGGCTCTTGCCTGATTTTTCTATAAGGAAATTGAGCCTGATTCCTATTTTCTACTCTCCATATTGGTTTTTCCATTCCAGCAGATTCAATTCTTGGGTACATGTGGTTTTAATTTTTCACAAAACATAAACATAAACTTGATCTAGTCATATTTTATGAGGGGCCCAAATTCAAATTTCATTGTGACAGATCAAAAGCTTTCTAGTAAGAATTTTGGGAAAGCTGAAGCCAATCAATTTAGTATTCACCATCTCCAGTAGCAAGGCATGCAATTCCCCTGAATTGGGTCAGAATGATACGTTGTCTAGTTCATTGTTACCAAGCCCTTCCAGATTTTGGATAGAAGAATTTACCTAGCATACTGCCTGACCTTTATAGTGGAGATGGCTTTTATATGTGAAGTAGTTGCTTTTCCAATGATACATGTCTGTGGATTTACTAATCGACAGACCTCTGTTAGCAGAATATTATGGAGTCAAATTCTTGCTGGTTTACCTCTTTTTAACACTTATTGTTGTTTTACTAAAAGCTGTCTTTATCCATTGTTCATCACTTAAACAGGACAAAGAGTGCTCCTACTGGTGCATCAAATATAAGAGGAATGTGTTGCATCTATTTTGTCTCTAAGCTTGACGTCTAAAAGTACTGAAAAGAAATTCAGCGCAAACTCTGCCCTTCAGATAGGTAAAACCACCAGACTCCATCCTGTGCAAATGTTTTTATGGAGTTGGAGTGGGGATATCAAGGTTTGCTCTCTAATCCCCAAGTTTTTACAATAACAGTTTCATTCTGCATGCATCCTCCAGCTTTTTGTAAGTGTGATAGTGACAGGTTAATTTATGTGCACTGGAGGTGGGCTGTATATTTCATGAACTCTGAGATGAGGAAGAAAAAGTGAATTCCTCTTCTGTAGTATATTACAATGAACTCTGAGATGAGAAAGAAAAAGTGAATTCCTCTTCTGTAGTATATTACAATAATAAATTAACATTTTAAATACTTTTTGCCTGATTAATGTTTCTATATTTGCATTAACATTAATTTTAATGATTCATTAATAGTTTCTTAAATGCATAATTGTGATAAATCTAAATTGTAATTTTAAATGTATACTTAAAGTTTTTATGTTCTTGTTCCAGTTAAAGAAGATAAGCATATATGCCATCTGGATTTACCTCAGTCTTCTCCGGGGAAAATTACAGAAGATGCTGGAGATGATTTTTCTTTGTAAGTAAAATTCTATAAGTACATAAATTGTCTTTTTGCTGTTTTTATATCTTAGAAGTTCAAGTTGAAACTTCATTTGGAAAGTAAGGTGTACACTAAACAGATTAGAGTACATCAGTCAAAACGACTGTTTTGAATATGAATTTCAGCCTTTCCCATTATTTCTCTAACTTTTTGTCTATTTTGGATCTTATTTTATCTTCTCTCTTTAGATTGTTTTTAGTTTCTGCCCTCCTCTCCTGCACTTCTCCAATTCATCTTCCTAAAACTTTTTCTCCCTGCCTTGCTTTTTCCTAGAAATTGAAATGCCCTTTGAATGGCAAATACATACTTCTTTTGGATACTAAGGCTGCATAACTAAACATTGCTGAACATTTTATGATCATTGGTGGGGGAATTTGCTTTGAACCTTTATGAGCAAGTCTGTGTTGCCCAATCAGCATATGTCAGCATAGTTATATCAATTCTCTGTGTCATTGTCTCTGGAAATTCTCAGTCATCCTGCCAGAACCGATGAAGTTTCTTGGATGAAAAGCGAAAAATCTTCTTTTTCCTCAAGGAAAAAAACAATCCAGTTGTCTTTTAAAACAGTACCTTTGAGATCTCTGTGGTGTTGTTTCTCAGCTAATGGCTATATGTGTCACTGATGGTGCACAGGAGTCTACGTGAGGCACATCTCCCTTCCCCAACCCAGGAAAAGAGCCCAAAAGAAAGAAAAGCGGGGAGGTGGGCAGAGTTCCTGGTCTTCTGTTGAGCATCTGGACACAGCATTTCCTGAAGTCCAGAATTGGAGTAGTTAGGGATTGCACAGGCTTAACTTCCAGAATAAGGTTTTTCACAGTAGTTACCTCTCTCATTATTTGGATGAGTTTTAATCAGTTGCTTCTAGGCAAAATCTGTTCCTACGTCAGTAAACACCCTATGTAGGCATAGTTCTCAGATTTATGGATAAATAGGCTATCCCCTATTTAGGCAGGTAGCTGTTCAACCCAGGTTAGCTTTTGCTCATTAATTTGGCAATATCAATAATAATACTGCAGTTTTTATGTCCTTAAAACTTACTATCGATGATAATGTGACAAGATAATCCTTATAAACATTCGTATCCTTAGAAAAGATTGATGGAATTCAGGTGGAGGTTTTTTCAGTGTCTTGTGTTGTTTTTAGAGAAAACTTAATGGAACTTAACAATATGAAAGATCGTTACTATATAGATTAACAGAAAATTGTAGAATTCAAATTCAAATCTTTATTGTCAGAGTACAACATGTGTACAGGGAGATTGGCTGAGCCTCCCTTCGTATACCCCCCAACCCAATACAACTCACAGTGAAAGACAGTAAAAGAAAAATCCCTAACCCAGTGAATCCTACTAACAAGCAACAAGCACTCAATCCTACTACACCACATGAATTTATTGCACATCGCGCTGGCCCCGCAAGTCATACTATATTGTTGTAAAGTTATTTTCCATTCAGAAGCCTGACAGCTCATGGATAAAAACTGTTCTTCAGCCTATTTGTGCGGCTGCCTATGCTTCTATATCTCCTTCCTGACGGCAGGAGAATAAAGAAGTGCTGACCAGGGTGAGAGTCGTCCTGAGGATTTTCCTCACTCTTCTAAGGCAGCGAGCCCTAGCAATGTCATCTAGTGATATCAGGGGACAGCCCAGAATGTTTTGTGCTGTGCTCACCACCCTATGTAATGTTTTTCTATCCACGACTGTCAAGCTGGCATACCAGTTCAATTTATAAATATTATTGGATTAAGATCATTGTGTTGCTTTCTTAATGCAAATAATGATGGTGAAAGCTGCCTGAATGATAAATAACCAGCATCTCTGTCCAGATTTTAGTCTATCTAAAGCTGAATCCAGCATAGAATCTCTATGGCAGGGGTGTCAAACTCGCATTGTCACGGCGGTGTCACATGACATATCAGGACTTCCCCCCCCCCTTGCTAAACCGGGTGGGGGCGGGGCCAGCACATGACACACCCGGCCTGCGGCCCACGAGTTTGATACCCCTGCTCTAAGGGGTTCAATTAGTACAATAGCTATCTGCCACTCTTTTTTTTCCTGTTGATTCCCAACAGAATCCCTTTGCACCACTGAGATTATATACCAGCCTAGGCAGTTGTCACACACATTCCCGTTTGCTGTGAGGGTAGGATTAAAAAAAAAGCATACATGCATCAAACATGGAGAGGATTGAGTTATCAGGTTCACCGAACAATATTATGTTTGAGCAAATCCTAACATCTCACTGATGGCTTGACACTTTTTATTTTTATTTTTACATGTACGGCTATAAACGGCAGTCTGGAAATTGAAATTGATGAGGGAATGGATTTAAGAACTGAAGGAGAATCTGCAGAGGCATCTTCCAAGTTCTACCAGGATCATGTCTGTTCTAAGAAATGTCTTTCCAAAAGACCATGGGATTCCTACAAAGGGGAAAACCCTTTGAAGTTGCCAATGCTGTGTCACTTCCAGAGATGGCATGCCAAAGCAGACTCTGGCTCAAAATCACACGATGTGCTATACAAAGCTCCTTGTGGAAAGAGCTTGAGAAATTTCAAAGACGTGCAGAATTACTTATTTCAAACAGAATGCAGCTTTTTATTTTTAGATCACTTTTCTTTCAATACCTACGTGCAGGTATTCAGAAGCAGTTCTAGTCCCCAGGCATTTGTCATTGATCCAGATATCAGCCAAGGGGCAGAGACTGTACCAGTATCATTCTGTAATGATATCAACCATGATCGACTGCCTTGCTTTAAATACCGGAAGACCTCTTGGCCCCATGGATACTTCTTGAACAACTTCTCCAGCAGTTTTCTTGACTCCTGCAACTGTACCGATGGCTGCATTGACAGGTGAATAATTGTCCATTTTTAAGCAGCATTTTGAATAAAAGTTTTTATTTTAAGTATGTGTATAGTGATGAAATAATGGGGTGATTTGCCAAAGTATGTTTCTTTAAATAATGCCTTGTTAAAGGTATCTGTGGCATCTACAAGATCAAACACAGACACTTGATTATTTTTGTTTACAAAATATGCAGAACCTTGAAAGGTCCTATTTAAAGGGGAAAGGTCAGCTTGCATTGTAAAGGAATTATTTGTTGAAAGCCTTAAATTTTTAAATTTAAGGAAATATCTTCCCTGGAATATATAAGCTATCCTGTGTTAATTGCTCTTCACTTGCATGTAAAATAGTAGAGCATTAAGATGATTCTGTGAAATTACATAAATGTGGAAATATGGCCATCAGTGGAGAAGTCCATCAAAATTCCAAATGAAATATACCAAGGAAAGCACTTAATATATTTGCTTTCTCTGAAAATGTTATCATCACAGCAGAATCCAGGGAATAAATGGGCCATGTTGCTTTATTTCATATCCTTATTTCCACTAGATCTACTGTGTGCTTTCTAGGACAAAATGTACGTGCCTGCTTCTTACAAAAAGAGCCGTCTTGAAAGCTTCTATGTCTCCAAGAAATGGACCATCTTACGGTTATACTTACAAAAGGCTGGAGGAACCTATTTCCAGTGGGTAAGGAATACTATGGTTAAGTTTGTGATACTTGTTACGTTGTATCTAATTTACTCACATGTTTCACTCATATAAACTCTGCTGCATTGCTGTTTTATATTATTATGGTTGGTCACACAGTCAGCCAGATATTTAGACTAGGTTTGACATTCTTATCCACCCATGAGGCTTTCCCAAGGACCCAGGATAGGCATCTATTGCTGTTTAATGATGTTAAAGACATACAGATATAAGGCTATAAGATGTTCCAAATAATTTGGAATTGCAATTTACAATTGACTAATAGTGATTTTGTCAACGCTGATGACGTTCAAGTGGTGCTCCAGTTGACTGTACTGTATATATAGGCGGTATTGAGTAATGAATTTCGGATGGTTTTCCCATATAACTGTTGATATGACTATCAGTGCTACTACTATTATTCTGGTGCCTTTGAGTCAGGGTTGATTCCAGGCAACTGCGTGGTTTTTTTTTAAAAGTTTTTAAGTTTGTGGTTTCTCTGCTTCCTGCTAGGGCTGAGAGAGTGGGACTGGCCAACATCACCCAGCTAGCTTCATATCTAAGGCGGGACCGGGAATTCATAGTCTCCTGGTTTTTAGCTTGGTGCTTTATCATTATACCAGACTAGCTCTCCCTTTTAAATAATAGTTTATAATTATTAGAAAGTTTGTTTCTCATTTCACCAAGGAACTAAAGGGGGAGGAAATGCAAATTGTGTTGAAGAACTGCTTCATGAATCTAGGTTTGAGCCTGGATATCCTGGTGCTCTCAGATGGTTATAGCTTAATGTTTTTGCAACACATTTTAGACCTGAAAGCTATAGGCAGTTTTTAGAGCATTTTAATTGTCCCAAATTGACCTATTTGTATTATATGTAAAACTGTCCTTTATTACTTATATGAGGAGCATTCTAAAATAAAAGGTTGTAAAGATGTTGTTTTGGTCAGTGTTTGTTTTGAGCATGCCTGATATCCTTGACTTATTCATTTAACAATGGTTTGAAGTTATGACAGCCTTGGGAAAAGTGCTTTATAACCTATCCTCAAAGTTACAGCTGTTGCACCATCCCCATAGTAGTGATCATAATCCAGTTGCTTGGCACCTGGGTTGCATTTACAAGTAGTAAATGTAGTCATGTGATTACAATTTTCAACTTTTCCAACCAGCTTCCAACAAGCAAAGTCAATTGGGGAAGTCAGATTTGCCAAATGGCCGCAATGATTCCCTTAATATCTGTGGTAAAAATAGTTGTAAAATCAGGTCTAGTCATGTGATGACTTGCTTTATGACTGCATTGACTTATAGAATCATAAGACTTGAAGGAACCTCCAGCGATGGAGCACTCTCCAACAGAAATTCTCAATTGTGGTCATAAGTCAAGAACTACCTGTACTACATTGTGCCTCTGTATTGAACTTAAGTATCAATAAATACATTCTCTGCTAAGGAATTGCAATAGTTGTTAAAACAAAAGACACAATAAATAATGCATTCATCCAGAAATGCCAGTTGTTAGCAAATACTGTATTTTTCGGAGTATAAAACGCACCTTTTCCCTCCCTAAAAAAGGCTGAAAATTTGGGTGCATCTTATACTCCAAATGTAGCTTTTTCGAGGCGCTAGGAAGTAAAGCGATCTCCATGCTTTGCTCCCTCTGATTCACAGCTGTGCTTTAGAAGCTTTTTTTCAGCCCTAGTGATGCACTAGCGAGTGAAGTGATCTTCCGGCTTTTCTTGCTCCCTCGCAACTCGCAGCTGTGCTTTAGAAGCTGCTTTTTATCCCCAAGCAGGGGATAAAACTAATGTGCTGAAGCTGATTAGACTAAGGACACTAGTGAGATGAATATCTGGTAGGCAGATTTTTTCCCCCTATTTTCCTCCCCCAAAACTAAGCTGCGTCTTACACTCCGGTGCATCTTATACTCTGAAAAATACAGTGTATAAAGTATACATTTTAAAACATTAGCCATCACTTGTAAGAATTCTAATATGTTACTAGATCATTTGTTGATTTCCATTTGCCTAGTCAATTGGGACAAATCTTGTACTGTTCATACATTTGTTATTTTCTTAAGAAACCTCCAGTTTTTCAATAGTATAGTTACTGATTTGTCTTGCCTTGAGTTCATATGCTCATTGCCTATTTTTCTTCATCTTTCTCTGTCCAGGCAAGCAGCATCCATATTGGAAGACCCAAAGGAGTGAATGTGTTTGGGTATTTGTTTATCTGTCTGTGCTCACACACACTTTGATGCTTTCCCCCATAATCCTCCTTTATCTTACCTTTGTTTTGTGTATCAGAGTTTATGAATGCAGCTTCCTCTGCAGCTGTGACAAGAACTTGTGCCAGAACAGATTGGTACAGCACGGTCTTCAAGTTCGCTTACAAGTCTTTAGCACTGAAAAGAAGGGCTGGGGAGTTCGCTGTCTTGATGACATTGACAAGGGAACATTTGTTTGTACCTATGCAGGTAGAGCAAAAGTATTTTAAGTACAGATGGTTTTATTTTATATATGTATACCCACATGCACATGTTATCCATACACACACACACAAACACAGTAAAAGATTGAGTAATCATTGAACGTTTCAGTACTGAGTATTATGATTCCAATATTCCAATGAATTAATATTTGCATAAATATTCATTGAGGTTAATTTGTTTCTGTAGGAACAGTTTTACCATTTCTTCTATTTTCAGGTGATGTAGTTAATTAGGTATTTCAAATCGATGCTTTACCTCTAAAAAGTGTTTAAAGAAATCAGTATTCCAGTTGTGATTTTATTTTACTTAAAAGAATCTTGTCTAGCATCTTGTCCTAACTGATTAGGCAATATTTTCTCTGTGAAGCTGTCTAGAGAACTAAAATTTTATTTTATTTTATATTTTATTTTATTATTTTATTTTCCCGCCTTTATTACTTGATAAGTAACTGAAGGCTGTGAATATACATAATATTCCTTCCTTCTCCTATTTTCCCAACAACCATAACCCTGAAAGGTGAGTTGAGCTGAGTAACTAGGCCAAAGTCAGTCAGCTGGTTTTCATGCCTAAGGCAGGACTAGAACTCACTGTCTCCAGGTTTCTAGCCTGGTGCCTTACCCATCTAGCCTGGTGGCTTAACCCAGCATCTTAAACAGCTTTATTTCAGGGTCATTGTTATGTCCTCTTTTATAGCTATCAGTGATATTAAAATAACTTTAATTGGATATTATATTAGAATTCTTAAGTATATAAAATCCCCTTCTCCCCACCCCCAAAGAAATGCCTATGACATAGTGAATACTACACTGAAAATTTTGGGAGCTGTTTCACCAGCAAATTGCATTTTAGAGCTTTGAGATAAATGAAATGCTCCAGTTGGAACATTCTTTGTTAGGAATATTGCAAATGGAATTAATAAAATATTTCAGTACATTCTCATCTGCTAAAAGGGAGGCTCTCCTAACCTCTTCCTGTAGGGCTATTTTAGTCCCTTACAGTTTTCCCTTTACCCACACCTGACATAATAGCATCCCGGAAACTCAGAGGTTCTTCTGAAGTTATGCATAGATTTATGAAATTTTAGTTTGCAGTCATATTTACACATACTAATCTTGAATGTAGAAGTAGAACTGTATTTCCGGAGTAGAAATCACTTCTTTATTTTTGGATGATCTGGTTTCACTTCCAGGTCATCCAAAATTCACTTAAGCAAGTGGCTAAGCGCTCAACTACTTATGATTGCTATGTGAGGGAGAAAAATATTCAAGTATGTCCACGCTAATCTGTCCTGTTCAAGCTGTTTTGTTTCCGTGGGATAAGGTTTCAAATTGCTTGCTGCCACAGTACGTTACTGGGGTTTCTTGTTTCTCAGTTATCCCAAATAGACTTGAGTTCTGTCAGTTTTTACTGTCAGCAATTAAAATTGAAGGGAGTGGTACAAAATAATGTAATCTGAAATTAACATTAAATGTTGTATTCCTATCCTGCATTTAGATTTAGACTCTCTAACACATAAAATCAGTAGGGCAAGGGGAGATCTGCTTTAGGCAAATCTGAGATATCCTTTTTGCCTTCCTTAAATGTTTATCTTTTTTTATTGCCATACTTAGGGTATAAATTTCATAAATACAGTGTTTTATTCTAGGGAAATTGATGTCCAGAGTTGAACATTACCAGGGTAAAAATAGTGGCGAAATTGAAGAAGTTACCAAGAATACCAACCAGAGTTTATTTTCAAGAAAGAGAAAACTGAGTACAGTCTGTTCTGATTCAGAGAATGAACTTACTCAGGACATTGGAAGACAACAATCTTTACATCTGGATGCTGAAGGTCAACCAAATCGGCAAGTTAACAACAATTACATGTTTAAATAGTTAACATCCCTTCACTGTTTGAATCTGGATGAAGCCACATTTATGGTCCATCTTGTAGTGACTCATTAACAATACAAGCATTTAAAAATCCATGTTAGATCAGAATATATATACAATTGCTCTGAGTAAGCATGGCTCCTCTCCCCTTGAGATTAAGTAATGAGGAAGGAGTTTGTTGGAGAGTCTGGTTCTTTGGTGGTAGTAAAGAAGGAGAAAGAAATTAAGCCCACCTACCGGACCCAGAGAAGATACAATCCAACTTAGAAAAATGTGTTCAAAATACTAAGTGAGAGTAGTGTTAGGAAGTTGATATTATTTTACATGTGCTTGAGGCAAATGGCTGATTTCTTTCAAGACAAAATTTTAGGCTTAATCCCCACTGTGGCTGAGTCTACCCAAACTATTCCTTTGTTCATTTTACCTCTCCTGATGTTTAATCCTCACCTCTAAATTTAAAAATCCTCTATATTTTCTTCATTGTTGTGTATTCCTGAGAGCATTAAACGTATGTTTTAAATGTCCATGTACTGAAATGGTTGGGGAAGGGCCTCCAGGTGACTAAATGGGAAGCATTTTGGGGTTTATTTTATAACCATAGTTGAGGCTAAAAAGAAAGTGGTGGCAGCAAATATTTGCTGAAAACAATAAATGTTGCATCACTCTAAAGTAGAGCAGACCCAGTTGTGAAAAAGAGCCTTACGACATAAAAAATGCAAATCATAATATTACACTGTGTGGTGATGCCCTTTATTTATGTGAAGCCGCTGGGCGAGATCATCCGTGGCTTCGGGGTGGATTTCCATCAGTACGCTGATGACACTCAGCTGTACATTTCCACCCTGGGCCACCCCAATGATGCCCTTGAAGTGATGTCCCGGTGCCTGGAAGCTGTACGGATCTGGATGGGGAGAAACAAGCTCAGACTTAACCCTTCCAAGACCGAGTGGCTGTGGTTTCCGGCGTCCCGTCATAGTCAGTTGACTCCATCACTGACTATTGGGGGTGAGATCTTGACCCCCTCAGAGAGGGCTCGCAATTTGGGTGTCCTCCAAGTTGGACTCGCAGCTGTCCCTGGAAGACCATCTGACGGCTGTGGCCAGGGGGGCTTTTTATCAGGTTCACCTGATTTACCAGTTGTGTCCCTTTCTGGATTGGACTCCTTACGCACAGTCACTCACACCCTCGTCACTTCCCGTCTGGACTATTGTAACGCTCTCTACATGGGGCTCCCCTTGAAGAGCACCTGGAGGCTCCAACTGGTCCAGAATGCGGCCGCACGGGTAATTATGGGAGCGACCCGACGCTCCCATGTAACACCGCTCCTGCGCGAGCTGCACTAACTCCAGGTGGTCTTCCAGGTGCGATTCAAGGTGTTGGTTGCCACCTTTAAAGCGCTCCATGGCATGGGCCCTGGGTATCTACGAGACCGCCTTCTGCCACCAATAGCCTCCCATCGACCGGTACGCTCCCACAGAGAGGGGCTCCTCCGGGTGCCGTCAGCTAGGCAGTGCCGGCTGATGACCCCCAGGGGAAGAGCATTCTCTGTGGGGGCCCCTATCCTCTGGAATGAGTTGCTCCCGGAGATTGGTAGGATTACCGACCTGCGTACCTTTCGCTGTGCCCTAAAAACATTACTATTCCAACAAGCAGTGCTGGCCTAAAAAATAATAATATTTTTACTATTTTAATGGGTTGTTTTATTAGAATTTTCGGCCAATTGATTTAATTGTTTTAACTTGTTTTTAATTTTTCTATTGTCATGGTTTTATTCTGGCTGTACACCGCCCTGAGTCCTTCGGGGAAGGGCGGTATAGAAATTTAATAAAATAAAATAAAAATAAAATAAAATTACAGCAGTTCCAAAACCTTCTTAGTATATAAATGATTCTTTAATGCTTTAAATCTCTTCTCAAATTAAGTAGAAACTGGGCTTTCAACATAGTTCAATTGACAATAATTAATATTATACAAACTCTTTTATTTCAGTAGAATATGCTAAATCTTCAAAGTGGATGAAACTCCCAAGTGGATCTTTGAGTCTCTTTACATTAAAAAAAAAAGTTTCGGTAAATTTGTAATCTTTGTAGGCATTTACCAATACAAAATTTGCACAAGATGACAAGGAATTTGCTGTAAACACTGAACAATTACTAGGACAATTAATCCTACAATTAATAATTAAAAAATAGTTTAAAGAATTCTACTTTAACATATGCTATATAAAACCATGTTTCTGTTAGCAGAATTCAGAACTACACTTCATACAAGAATTGGAATGTACAAACTATTGCAAGACCTAAAACTAAAACATCCCTTCTTCAAAGACAACGACAAGAACTAGTAAATATTCTGCATTTATTTTTAGACTGCCTTCTTGGCTTTTTACTTTATTTTAATGTATACTTTGAATGTTTCAAATCTGTTCTGTTTCTAAATTTGGTAGCGAGGTAATAAGGGAAGATCTTACTTTGCTCAGTGAGTAATAATACAGTACCACAGTATTTCTCAACCTCAACAACTTTAAGATATGTAGACTTCAGCATGCCGGCTGGGTAATTTTGGGAACTGAAGTCTACGTATCAAAGTTACTGGGATTGATGAACTATCCTGCACTGTTCTTTCCTTTTCTTTCCCCCAGAAGAATATATATACGTATTTTAATGAGATTACAGATAATCCCTAATTTATTACCACAATTGGGACCAGAATGTCTGTTGCTAATTAAGATCGTTGTTAAATAAGTCATGAACTTTTCTGCAACAGTTGTTAAGCAAATCACTGCGGTTTTTAAGTGAATCTTGTGGTTAAGTGAATTTAGCTTCCCCCCTTGATTTTATTTGTCGAAAGCCAGCCGAGAAGGTCACAAATAGCAATCATGTGCTAGGGGGAGGTTGCAACCATCATAGCCACCTGCATGGTTGCCAAGTGCCCAACCATGGAGTTGCTGCAATAGAAGCAACAGTTGTAAGTGACTTTTCCCAGTGCTGTTGTAACTTGGATAGGTCGCTGAAGGTTACAAGACGAGGGCTGTCTGTATTGTGTAGATGTGTCAATTATTCTGAGCTTGAAATAACTGTTTTGAGATTAAATCAAGCTGTTTTGACCTTAATGAATGTGCTCCAACATTTCATTGAACTGGCAAATGAAATTGTTATAGTCCAGTTCAAATTTGAAAAGGCTGTTTTGCATTTGAGCAGTTCTGAGTTTGAAACATTTCATGCACCTTTGTAGTTAGGAGAAGTAAGAGAGTCTGAAAAAGGAGATTATTTTAGGATAGCACTGTTTGATGAATCTACTTTTAAATTTGTCCTTCCAAGATGGATGGACTGGAGTACTCCATTTCACAGATTGATCCTGCCTAAGTAGAATATTTGGGTTTGATTGGAGATCAGGAGAGAGAGTTAATTTTTATTTATCTTACCTCACCCTTCCCCAACATGTTCTGTGGCACTGAATGAAAACCAGAAAATGTGTTTGTTGTATCCAAGCCCCAAGAAAGCCAGATGGCTTCTAGAAAAAGATCAAAACCTTGAGAAATCAACAAAATAAATCCAGGATTAAAATTCCTAGTTTGTCTACTCATACTAGATTTCTTTCTTCAAAGGGAATTACTGATGCCAGCTCTGATGAAGATGAGAGTTCTTTGTGTCAGATGTCAGGAACAAGAAGAATAACTTCAGCAACCAAAAAAGGAGATGAACGTAAAGTTGCACCATTTTTTTTCATTTTTAACAAATTTGAAAATAAAATTGCATATCTCAAAACCACTATTAAGGAGTTAAAAGCACTACAATTGCACCAAGAGCCTTGATGGTGCAGCGGACTAAGTGCTGTTATGTAGCATTTAGCTGCCAGCTGCCTGCAATTAGTGCGAGTTCAAATCTCACCAGGCTCAAGGTTGACTCAGCCTTCCATCCTTCCGAGGTAGGTAAATTGAGGACCCGGATTGTGGGGGCAATAAGCTGACTTTGTAGAAACACCACTTATGGGGGGCCAAAAGCCCTAATAAGCAGGTATATACAAAAGAATGAAGGCTATTGCTATAAGTGCATTGTAAGCCGCCCTGAGTCTTTGGAGGAGGGCGGCATATAAATTGAACTAATAAATAAATAAATACAATTATTAAAATTAAAAGAAAACTGCATAAAAATAATGCTGAAATGTAAAAGCATGAAAAATTCTTACCAGCAGAGAAAAGACTATAATATTCTATTAATATAATATTCAGCCTTTGCCATGGTTTCTTACTTTTGGTAGACAGATAGCCTCAAATATTACCTCCTTGATACTCTGACTTGAAGAATTTTGAGCTTCTTGCTATGCGGTCTTATGTATTTAGCAGACATACAGTATGTGGGATCTGCTATGTGATACGTGACATGAGACTTATGATGCAGATTTTTTTCTGAGCGTAAATCATTATCAGAGATACACAGTTTTTAATCCAGAGAAAATAAGGTACTTCACATCCCACATTTTCTATATTTGTTGGCAGCTCCTTGAAGGAGTTGTGCCTTTTCCTGGATTTGTATATGTGAACTCAGGAAGCAGAGACAGCGCAATGACATTACCCTGTCATTATCTCTGAAAAAAGTGAATCTTCTGTAAGCAGCTGCCAACAGATAAAGCACAGTATTCACAGCAGAGGCAAAGGGGCTTTGTCCTTCGATCCAAATACTGAAAACTTAGGTATGGCCATGATCGTGCTCGGAATCTGATAGAGCTTTGGATTCAAAAATAATATTTTAATAAATTGGTCTAGCAAATTTAAAGCAGAGCATCTATACTAGATATTGGAAGGTGTGACTGTGAGATGTTCCTAAATCATATGCTAATTTTGAAATGCTTCTTTACAGAATCAGGCCTGCAAGGAGAATTTGAGAATTTGGTAAACACCATAAATTCTGAAGCTAATACTGATTGCCATAAAGAGAATCTCCTTTCTGATGCTGTATTGAAAAATAAACTGCCTGTGGAAGATGACAAAGAAGTGAAAAAACAACATAAAGACATACTTGAATCAGACAACACAATAAAGCGAAAAACTCAGAGAAACAGACAGGAACTAGCTTGTACGAAGGAGGCAACAGAAATTGAGACATGCCCAAAGAATGAAGAAAATCCTTGTTTGCTGGATGCCACAAGGGAAGGCAATGTAGGCAGGTTTCTTAATGTAAGTCGTATTTCTTTATTTCTTTTGTTTCAGTTTATATCACCACCTATCTGAGCCAATAGCTTTGGGCAGTGAGCAATATTTAAAATCAAAGTTCAAAAATATACAACCACAACTATAAAAATTAAAATACACAGCAGCAAGAAAAATGCAGCTATCACTAACACAACCAGGAGATGTGTCCCTTCACAGACTCAGGGTCCTGGGACTTGAGAATTTTATGAAAGGGTCAGTAAGGATGGGGACATCCTGATCTCCAGAGGGAGAATGCTGAGTACTGTGGGCGCTACAGGCTCACCTTCTGGGCCCTGACAACCAACTTCTTTAGCTGACAGGACCCAGAATACGTGCCCATCCTGCTTGGCCAGTCAGGTAGAAACAAATGGGGAAAATGTTCCCTTCAGTAACCAGGTCCCAAGCCATGAAGTGTTCTGTCCCCGTCTCCACACACACACAAACACAGCCAGCCGAGGGTTAAGAAAGCACTTGGCACGCACACAGGTTGTTATCTAAAACTTGGCAGCTATACGAGCATCGACTGCCAAGGGCTTTACTTCATCAGATAAACAGAAAATACATACAAATTGCAAATAGTCCAGTTCAAAACAAGGAACCTTCGGCAGATTTAGGCGTTGTTCAAGTGACTAGCCAGAGTTAGTTTTTGTTCGTCACAGAGTCTTAAACAGCCACCACACTCTCTTATATAGTCTCTGGGGTGTGGTCCAGTGACTCAGTTATAATCCCTGGCATGCCTCCTTAACTGCTGCAACTGTTTATCACGCCCTTGTTGGCGTGGATCCAGGAACGACAGATCACCTCCCTCGCTCTCATCGGAGACACCTGGCTCCTGGCTAATCTCCTCTTCCTCGGCCGGCACTTGAGGCAGTGCCAGAGGGGAGGGGCCTGGAGAGGGAGGCCTGGCCGACTCCTCTTCTTCATGTTCGGAGCCTTCTTCCTCCAATGAGATAGGCTCGGAGGGCGGGGCCACAACATGAAGGGTTTTAAAGGTGACAACCAGCTCTTTGAATTGTATCTGAAAGCACATTGGCAACCGGTACAGCTCACATGCACTAGATCAGCATAGTTTACTGTACATGCAGCCACATTCTGCAACTGTTAAGGCTTTCAAATGCTCTTCAGGGGCAGCCCCATGTAATGAGTATTGTGGTAGTCCAGACAGGTCATTGTGGAATGAATAATACTGAGCAAGGCTTCCCAATCCAGGAACAGGCACAACTGATGAACAACCTGAAGGTGAGCAGTGGTTCTCCCATTGGTTCTCCCAAGAAGTTATGAACTCAGAAGGACCTCCATATTGCTCATCAAATCTGTTTGGGGCAGTGCTACCACATCCAGAATCAAAAATGGAAGATCCTTAGCCTGAGAACGTTCAAAATCTTAAAGCCACTAAGTCTTGCTTGGGTTGAACCACAACCTGTTTCCTAAGAAAATGTACCTAAGACAAGACCAGAAAAATAGTTCCTCAGTTTCTAGCTGAGTTCCTTAACCATCACACCAATCTGGCTCTCACATACTGATGATACTCACCTTAAAAATCAGATGACCTCACTCAGTGGCTTCATGTAGATGTTAAACACTGTGCTACTGACCCCCATCTCCCAGAGGGGGTCCAGAAGGATTCTGTGATTGATAGTATCAAAATACACTAAAAGGTCAAGAATAGCAAGGATGGGTGTACTGCCCCCATTCTAATCCAACAAGAGATTATGCAAAATTGTATTCATACAGTCTCATACTCAGGCCTGAATCACAATTGAAATGGATCAAGTTAAAGAAGTATCTTTTTCATAATATTACACTAATTTTGAAAAATGTTATAGTTTTGCTATGTGTTGAAATAGCAATAACAATAGCACTTAGACTTAGATTCATATACCGCTTCACTGTGCTTTCCAGCCCTCTCTAAGCGTTTTACAGAGTCAGCATATTGCCCCCAATAATCTGGGTCCTCATTTTGCTGACCTTGGAAAGATGGCAGGCTGATTCAACCTTGAGCCGGTGAGGATCCTGGCAGTCAGCAGAATTAGCCTGCAGTACTGCAATCTAACCACTGCGCCACCACGGCTCTTATGCTGAATACTGAGAACCTTCAGCATCTGTATGCAGTCTTCAGGAGCAGTGTAACAGATTTACAACTTTTGGTCTGTTTTTGTACTTAACGAATATGATATAAAGAGTTAAAATCTGTAGCTCTTATCTATCCACCAATTTATAAAAGTAAACCAGTTATCTTTTAGTTTTATATTCTATAATTCACATGCAAATATTGGGAAATCTTTTCAGCCTTAAATTTAGATGCCAGTGATAAGAGTAACCAAACACAGAACTGGATGATGATAATAAATGAGGGGGTAAATAAATAAATATGTTCAGTATATAATTAATGATATTTTGCTAAGCCATTATGTCCACAGTAAGGAAATAGGGCTGAAGAGTAGAGCCAGGAAAAAAGTTAGGATTTGAAATGGAGGAAGGGGCTTGATGTGAAGAGGTCCTAAAATGAGGTTTATGGTCTCTTCCCCTCCTTTTATTCTTCATACTGTTGGAATAGAAGTAGCTGCCTTTGGCCTTTGAAGTTTGTTCTACTCGTTGGCTTCTCCGGGAGCAATTTTGCTTTTGCTTTTATTGGTCTGGTTGAACTCCGTGGTAGAAAAGTCACCCAAGAAGTGTGGCTAGTGGGAGAGTCACTAATCTCTTAATCCAGTAAACCAGCAGCACCAGGTTCTTGTATAATTTAATAATTAAAAAGAAATAGGACATGGACATTCATCGAACAGAGACTACTAAAGATTATTCTTCAGCTGATAAGAGAAAAATATAAGCATAAAGAATTCAGAGAAGAATCTTAAGTGTAACCATTCACTGTGAAAGGCAGGGCTGTCTGCTTTTGATCCTTAAAAGACTGTTGCCATACAGTTTCTTGAAACACAAAGCTTGAAAGGATCCTACAAGAGTGTTAGAGCTAACAGCAACTTTTAACCAACCAAAGCAAAGCAAGAGATGTTAATAAAATAAATAAAAATAGCATAAAATATATCAAAAAACAGCACCATGTTTTTATAACATATTAATACTAAATACACAGATTTTGTCTCTTTATAAAACCATTTCCTCTTTTGTTTTTGTTTTTTTGCATTAATGATGTTAAACATTACAGAAAAGAATAGTTTGATCAGACCTGACTCCATAAGTAGAGTATGTTTACCAAAAGAAACGATCCAAATGTGCACAAAAAGTATATTAAAAGAAAACAGGTGCTTCTATTTTAACTGTTATTTATTTTGTTTATAGCATAGCTGCTCTCCTAATCTCTTCGTACAAAGTGTATTTGTAGAGACTCACAACAGAAATTTCCCCTGGGTGGCATTCTTCACAAAGAGGTTTGACATTTTTCTTTGTTAACAAATCGTAAGCATAATTCTGTGAGCAAAAATAGATTTCTACTAAGAAAAAAAATGTATAAAACTGAATACTTGTTCTGTGGTTATCTTCTACTGAACAATACAGAAGGCAGAAAATGGAATGGTGTTATTGCTGAGCCATATTAAAAAGAAAAACATAATAGCAAGAGTTTTATCCCATTTATAAAGGCAAATATGACACGGTTCTATGATTGTGTCTGATTTTTATAGCATAAGTGATTGAGTTTGGAGTAATATATTTTTATGTCTGCACTATAAACAAATCTTGATATTTCAAGGAACTGATGAAGTTATTTTGGGATTTGAATGTGCGGCTGTATATGTGTGTATTGATTAATAGCCACTTGATCTTAGAATGTTTTATCTTCATAACATTAAACACTTCTGCTTTTATCTTGGGTAAATGCTTTTAGATATTATTAAATGTTAATCATATTAATTATAAACCAGAGACAAAAGCATGTTTTAAAGTGGGTTTGCAAACCATTATTAAAAACCAATAACAGTTTTAGTTGTTGCAGAAGAGATAATTTTCCTGGCTTTTCATTCTTGCTAATGTTCTCCTGCATGATCTCCAGGGACAGAGCAGACTTTAGTGAAGTAAACCATGGTTTTATTTGTTTCTTTAACCTTAAGAACAGAAATCTTGATTAGTGCTACTTAAGCACTATCTGCTAGATATTCAAATTTAGTAATCTTAAAATTAAAATTTAGTAATTTGTTACTATGACAGGCCAGGGGTAATTGCCTACACTTTGGAGGACAGAGGGATCTTGACAGATTTGAACATTGGGCCCTAGCAAACAAAATGCAGTTCAGTGATAAGGAAGGTAAGATCCTGCACTTAGGGAGAATGGGTGTCCTAGTTGACCACCACTTGAGTATGAGCCAGTACTGTGCTGCAGCTGCCAAAAAGGACCATGTAGTCCTAAACTGCATCAACAAGAGGGATAGCATCAGGATCATGGGAAGTACCACTTTATACTGCACTAGTGAGATCACATTTGGAATACTGTGTACAGTTCTTATTACCAAGATAGCTGTAAGTTATGTAAAGAACAGACATTATTGCTGCCTTGTTGGGAGTCTTAAGCCCCATCCCGTATTTGTACACTCATAAAAGTAAAAGTAAGCATAAGTCCTCATGGATTATTGCTATTATTCTAATTGTGTGGCATATTTGCTTTTCAGACATGTAAAAGCTGGAACTGAACTTACATGGGATTATGGTTATAAAGCTGGAAGTATGCCTGAGACAGAGACTACCTGCCAGTGTGGGAGTCTGAAGTGTCGGAAAAAAATCTTGTAGAGTTTTTGTATGTATTAATCTAGAACCTGGTGAAATGGGCAGCATACAAATAATATACTTTTTTTAAAAAAAGGATTGTTACGCACCTTTTTGGATCAAGGCATCTCTGCCCTATCTACATTTATTAATGGAAGCAACTCATTTCAATCTAGGACTGATTTCAGTCGCTGCTTTGAGTTTTGAACAGCTTCCTTGGATTTCAGTTTTAGTGATTTGAGATAGTTGCACAGATACTTTTTTGGATCTCAACTTTACCAACCAAAAAGGAATTCGTAAACCAGATAGACTGGTTCCTCAAGGTCAGGTCTAAGATCTGCTGCTGAGAATTTCCACTATACTATACACAGTACTGAGTCAAATGTATGAAGTACTGAGTCATATGGACAAACATACTAATATAGTAACAGGCAGCTAGCTTCCTATAGTCGTATTTGTAAAGATGGATTTTTTTTTAGCAAGCCATTGGTTATTGCGTGAAAAGATAGTATTAATAAAAATATCCAATAGAATAACAAAAGATTGACAGGTATGTAATAGCAGCACACACATGTGAATTATAATCATATCCTACAATACAGCTTTGCCTCTTCCACCCAAATTCATATATATATATACATACATACATACATACATACATACATACATACATACATACATATATATATATATATATATATATATATATATATATATATATATATATATATATATATTAAAGCTTTACCATTCAGTACCAATTTTTGCAGGAGTCCTAACAGCTTTCACTTTCTTAGTTGTATGACATATTTATCATAAGTCAATTCTTGTGTACACAATTTTGTGTGCTGTAACCTTTTAATTACTTGATTACTGTGATAAAGATTATTGATTCAGCAAATCCTGTCATTCTTACTTTACACTTTACTTGCATGCCAAAGTCCCAAAAGCTCTGCCCAGCAAACAAAGAAACAATCTCTTTTAAGATTTAATTAAAATTATGTTATATCAGAAGCGTATTGCAATGGATTTTTGATAGTATAATCTGTGTAAGAATGGTTTTAATTCCTCTACTTCTCTTCACCTTCAGACTTCATTCTAGATATGCCAATAGAACAATTGGCATTTGTTCATCAAACTTCAAAAAATGTTGCAACTCAACTATTATAATAAATTGGATTTATATCTCCACTAATCAAGTCAGGACATAACCCCGCATTTGCTATTAAGATAGAAAATTGTCTAATGCTTTGTCATCTGTATTTGCTGCCTTAAATAATGTGTAAAAATAATAAAATATGGGAAATAAATGATTAAATAAAAAGGTCCATCTCACCAATGAACCTTAACTGTCAGTAATTTCCATGTGTCTCCCTACATGGAGATATAGGCGGTCTTCAATTTACAACTACAATTGAGCCTAGAATCTTGGTCATTGAGTGAAGCAATTGTTAAGTGAGATATCACATGACTGCCTCAGTCAACAGTTGCAATCCTGACACTTATGGTTGCAGTCATTAAGTGGACAGAGTCCCAGGTAAGGAGCGCAGGGTGCCTTGGTGTTGGGGGAAGACCCTGGAAGGTTCCACTTAGGAACTGAAAATCCTCCCTTCTGAAATCCATGCATAATTTTCAGCCCTTGAGGGAGAGACACTAACACACATGCAGGACCTCCCTGACCTGTCTAAAGCACCCATACTGTTTATCACTTTGCCTCTCTGCTCTCTGTTGGATTTTGGCTCCCTCTTGTTTCCAGGTGCTAGCTGAAAGCGCTGCTTGCCAAAGGATATCATCTCTCCATGCATGGAGAGGACCGTGTTTGGCGGGCTGCAGATCTTCAGGATCTTCACCCTGTCAAAAGAACTCAGCTCCCTTCTGTGCATGGAAGGGAACTCCTGTGTGCTGCAGAAATGGAGCTCAAATCATCAGGATCTGAACTCCTTTTCTGCACCCCTATAGAAGAAAGTCATCTCTCTCCTGCTTGTGGAAGAGAACTCCTTCCATGGGGTGCAGAAACCGAGCTCAAATCAGGTTTTCGGCTCCAATTCTCCACTCCTTAAGAGGATGTCATCCCTTCTCCACACACAGAAGGGAACTTGGGTGGGGATGCAGAAACAGCTTGAATCATCCGGATCAGATCCATTTCTCCACCCCACCAAAAGAATTCAGCTTCCCTCCACAGGCAGCTCTTTCAACCAGCCCCCAAGATGAGAAAGATGCCATCCTCTTGGCAGATGGCTGCAGCTTTTTAACCTTCCCTGCCAACTCATTGATTTTCTGGGGCAGCCAGCAGAGAAGATTGAAAATGGTGATCACATGAAGGCACCAGCTGCAACTGGTCATAAGTGAAAACAGGTTGCGAAGCACCCAGATTATGATTATGTGACTAGGGGGGTGGCAGAGTTTTACAAGAGTGCTTTACAGGCCACAAAGCACTCCAAGACTATCATAAATCAGTTGCAGACTACCTGTATAAAGAATGTTTCTGTATGGCAAAGCATGTGGCAGTCCCCTGAACCATGGTTCTGGATTGATTATGGCAATTGTTGTTACTGAATTAGCATAAAATGTATGACAGAATAAGAAAACAGTCCGTTTTTCCATTAGCTATATTTTGCCTTTATTTCCTTTGGGTCCATATTTCCAGTAGCTACTTTTGGAGAAACAAACTTAATTTCTTGACTACTTTTTTAAAAATATTTTATTTAGAAAACACATTTCTAAGAGAGCATCACTGGGTCATCTCGTAGCAACAAAATACATTTTATTTTTAGGAGGTGAGATGAGGAAATTTGAACATTTAGAATGTAGCTGTTTTATATTTTATACTAAAAAATGTTTTAAAAATCTTGTCTTATGTTTTTTTTCCATTTGGTAAAATTTTTAATTTGTATCTATCTTGATTATATTTAAGAGAAAACTGAACTTTCATGAACTATTTTAGTTTAGAAATACGTTTTAACTACAATTCTGCTTATTCTTGGCTTTTAATCATTACAAAAACCTCTGGAATGTTGAAGCCAACTTTTCACTAAGCGTATGTTAACAATCTTAGTTCTTACAATAATGTGGAGAATTATTATGAATGAATATAATGAACACATAGGGTGGAGAGTAAGCAAACAAAATTATAGGAATCATATTTGTAATGCACCAACACTTCAACAGTAAACTAAATGTGGTTTTCTGAAAAATCTGATGCTCCTTTTGTCTTAACTTCATAAGAGGGAATAGATGTAAATACTAGTGAGATAATAAGCATATAAAATTTAGTCAAAGCATCTGTGAAGCTGATAATAGACCAGAATTCTCTAAAACAGTGGTTCTCAACCTTCCTAATGCCGCGACCCATTAATACAGTTCCTCATGTTGTGGTGACCCCCAACCAGGAATGGGTTCTAAAAAAATTTACTATCAGTTCTGTGGGCGTGGCTTATTTTGTGGGTGTGGCTTGGAGGTCATGTGACTGGGTGGGTATGGCTAGCTGGTCATATGACTGGGTGGCTATGGCTATGTGTATAGGGACTACTCAGAGGGCTGAAAAGTCATTTCTGACAGATCCTCACACTTTTGACTGGTCCTCACACTTATGACCATCCTCACATTTATGCCCGTGCAGCATTCTTAACAACCATGTCACTCATTTCACAACTGCTTCTCTTCACCATGGTGATAAGATAGGGCAAAAACGTAAAATGTGAGGACAGTCGTAAGTTCGAGGACTGGTCAAAAGTGCGAGGACCAGTCAAAAATAACTTTTTCAGCCCTTTGAGTAGTCCATATGCATAAAAGGATACAGCAATAGAGAGGGATGAAGGAAGGGAAGGGAAATTAATGTAGGAGTGAGGGTAAGAGAGGGAGTAGGAGAAGGAGAAAGGAAGAGGAAGTAGGGAGGAGAAGAAGAAGGGGGAGAAGAAAGTAAGTATACCCCTTCCCATTGTCATCTATTTTTATATCCATCCTCACATTGGTTAATTATGTAATTATGTTGTTGGAAGAAATATCCTTCTGGGTTCTGCTCCAAGTGGGGGAAAAGATACTGGAAACATGGAGACTGCTTAGAAAGATGGTTTAATGGTGAACATGGCTTGAGTTCCTGAACAGAAAAGGGCAGATACAGCAAGTTTTTCGGGTTTTATGCTCTCTCTGGCTTTGAACTTCCTGGGGCCCAGAATGAGTACCCTGATTGGTTGTCAGACTCCCAGGAGGTGGGGGTCTTAGCTAGCCTTGCTGGCTGATGTAATCTTCCCAGGTGCCATGTGGTGAGTTTCTGTCTAGATGGGTCCCATTGTGTTAGTTTCTGTTGCTATTGTGTTGCAAATGTCCTTTGACAAAGGATTGGGTTTCTGCCTCTGGCCCATTAACAAAGGGTGGGGGGCAGGAAGGTGGGAACTGCTGTGTCTGTAAAACATGCTTCTCCATTTTCATACAGGGAAACATTCTGCTTTTTTTAATATTTCCTAAAAATATTTCATTCCTCTAGAAAAGGGGTGGGTGCTAACTTCCTACAATGTAATACAGTTGTTTAATACAAATTCAACATTTTAATATAAATCAATTAGTTATATAACTATCTTTTTTGTATATCAATCAATATGAACATGAATATTCCAATTATTTCCATGCAATCCAATTTCTTACAAATCAATTAATTATATTTACCAATAATAATAAACCAAATAATTTCCTCCATATATTCCTCCAAACCACAACTTAACCATTTCTGCTTTCAACACAATATACAATTAATAGTATCTCAATGATTACAATTCCCTAGTTAAATAGAGCTTTTTTTCTTTTGTGTTTTAAAATCTTGAACCACCTCTTTTGCCCTAAATTTCCCATTGTTTGCAGTTTTGCACCTACCTTTTTTGGTGAGGAAAAAGAAAAAGAAATCTCTGCCTCATTTTGTCACATTGCAGCAAAGACCCTGCTTTACTTTCACTTTCGTTTTTTCAGCATAGCTGGGGGGGAAATCTGCTCCTCTCTTTGCAGCTAGCAACAGAGCCCTCCGCAAAACAGCTGAGAGCAAATCAGCTGAGTCCGGAGGCTGATCAAATCAATTTATGGTAATTAACCCATGCTGAAGCTGAAAGGGGCTATTTTTTTCTATTTTTGCAGGCACCGGTCTTCTCATTTGTTTTCTTTTAACACTGATCAGCTGTAGGGCGGCCCTTTGAAGCCCCGCGGCAAGAATTTAAACGGTTTGTTTCCCTCTAGCCATCAGTTGGGACTCAGGAGGCAGCATTAGATTGGGAGTGGGCGGGGTAAGTGACCGGCGATCCAACAGAGGCAGAGGGTGAGGGTGAGTGAAGGCATGGGGGGGGCGAGAGAGGGCTTTGGCGACCCCTGTGAAATGGCCGTTCGACACCCAAAGGGGTCGTGACCCCCAGGTTGAGAACCGCTGCTCTAAAAGTTGGAATGCTCCAGATATGCTGGTTTAACTTTTTAATAGTAAAAACAAATACAAAGTAAACTGAAACCTAAAGTAAGTTTAAATAGTGCAAGAGAAAGAAAAAGAGGAAAAGAGTGAAAAAATAAAGATAAAGTGGCTTCCAATCTTCATCACACCAAGCATAAGCTAACATAATTCTTCACTATCTTAAAATTACGTAACAAAAAACTCTTCTACCCATAACCTAACTCATATCTATATATAATCCATCTTTTCAATCCTGATTCAGCAAAAAGTCCATAAGAAGCAATCAGCAATTTGAAAGAAGTACTTTATCCTTGATCAAATAGTCAGTCCTTATCTGAGGATTGGAAAAGAGCTAATGAAGTTCCCATCTTCAAAAAAAAAAAAGAAAGAAAAAAACAGACCTAGGAAACTGCAGATTAATCAGCCTGACATCTTTATCTGGTAAGATCTTGCAAAAAAATCAAGCAATAAATCTGCGAACACAAAATTATAACCAAAAGTCAACTTGTGTTGTGTTGTTATCATTATCATTACTATGATGATGATGATGATGTAAGGTCCCAAAATATACTTGAGTCACCAAAATGCCAAAGAGAGAGACTCAAGATGAGGCTTGCAAAAAGAAGCAGATTTTATTTATGGCCAAAACAAAATACTGGGTGGGACTATATCCAGAATGTACAGATATAGTGCTTGTGAGATAGCCACACCTTGGGGAAGATATGGCATCCTTTTTATACCCTCAGAGACATCAGTTTAGTACCCAATTCTGGCCTCCTAGTTTAGGTTTGTGTATTCCTTGTTGCCCTGCAAAGGAATAGAAGCCTCCCAATTAGCTTTAAGCATTCCTTTGTTCTCCCAATTGGCCATTTGGCCCCCTGGTTCTGCAAGGAACTAGCTTATACAGAGCAAAGGTGTAAATTAGGGCTGAATTATCCCTAGGATGATGTCTGCACTTCCAACTGAGATACGTACCATGCTCTTAGATGGCACAAGAAAAACAGAAAGAAGATTGATATGGGTTCAGATCAAATTGCAGGAACATATGTTTGACAAATACCAGATACATTACAGAGGCCTAATAACAGAATATGTTTGTTACAGAGATATAAATATAAAGGCATAATATATGTGATACAAATACAAGGCATATTTGTGTTACAGATATAAAGGTACAATATATAAATACAAAGATTATACAAATACAAAGGTTATACCACCAGTTCTGTGGGTGTGGCTTGGTGGGGGGTGTAATGTGACTGGGTGGGCGTGGCCAACTTTTTTTTTTAAACTTTTCAAAGCATTTTTTCTAATGCTTTGAAAAGCCTCTGACTGTCAGGCAACTCAGCTGAGATTGTCAGAGACTTTTCAAAGCATTTTTTTTACCACCTCTTCAGCCAAGAGGTTGCAGAAAAAAATGCTTTGAAAAGCCTCTGACAATCCCAGCTGAGCCATGTGATCATCAGAGGCTTTTTTTTTTTTACTTTTAAAAGCATTTTTTGTCAAGAGGTTGTAGAAAAAGTTTTTAAAAGTTTTTTTTAAAAAAGCCTCTGATGATCGTGGGGCTCAGCTGGGCATGGTGGGGGGGGGGATTTTTGCTACGGTTCTTCAAACCACCCGCCACCATTGCTACTGGATCAGGCGATCCGGTCTGAATCAGGAGCATTTCACCCCTGCTATATATGTATTACAGGAACCTAATGGTTACAGAATAACAAGTTTCTGCTAATTCTAGTATACCAGTATATCATATTGTAGTATTATTTATTATACCCTTATTGTTTCCCTTCTATTATTTTTATTATTTGCTTTACATGTACACTGAGTACTTTTGTACCAGAGATAAATTATCTGGTACTTAACATTGCAGCCTGTAAGGTCTTGCCTCTCCAAATCTTTGCAAGAAAGCAGGATTCTTGAAACTGAAGTTGTTCCAAAAGGAGCTTTTATTGAAAGATTTGTGATACCAAGAGGTCTAGGCAGGAACTAAATCTTCCCACTTAAAAAAACAGCAATTTAAAGCAGTGCAAACAAAACCCCTCCCACAGTACAGCAATGCAGGAAACAGAAACTCACAGCACACCAATGCAGGAATCAGAAACAGAAACTTCATATAGCGATCCCTCCAATCCTCCCCCCTCCAATGGTGAAATCCAAATTTTTGTACTACCGGTTCTGTGGGCATGACTTGGTGGGCGTGGTATGACTTGGTAGGCATGGCAGGATACTGCAAAATCTCCATTCCCATTCCACTCTGGGGGAAATCAGAGGTGGTATTTGCCAGTTCTCTGAACTACTCAAAATTTTCGCTACTGGTTCTCCAGAACCTGCTGGATTTTACCTCTGTCCGCCTCCCATCAGAATGCCAACATCCCCAAAAAAAATATGGGGCTAGTTAACTTAACTATAACAACCCAAGGAGAGTTAGCAGATTCTAACTAATTTATTTGCAACAGGAAGAGGGGCCAGCGTTGTTTCCACTGCTGTCCTGGTTCGTTTTTTTGATGAGGCTATCACTAGCCTTCTGGAATTTTAGGGCCCAAAGGGAAAAACATTTAAGAACAGAAGTGAGCAAAATGAAGGTTTTTCGACAAAATGGGGATTCTGTGACTAAAATTAGCAACAGATCTTCAAGGTCCCTTCCAATCCTAAATGTTATTTTTTTCCTACCCTCACCCCCGCAGGGAACGGCCCTTGTTGCGCTTGTGGGCAATCGCTCCTGCTCCGCTTCTCCGGAGAGACTCCGCAGCACCGGTTTTTTGCTGTTCACCGTAGCCGTCTCGTCTCTTGCACACAGTGCACTGCTTTCCCCACCAGCACCACCCCCTTCGGTGTCAGCTGTTCTCACACCGCCAGCAAACTTTTGAAATCTAGCCATTCATCGCTCTTCTTCCACGACCATCTTTTGCCTTGCCCCGCATTTTACCGCTGCTGCGGCCCGTGCCCGAGGATATGAAAAGTGAGCGGCGCCCCTCGCTCTCCTGAACGCGCTTGCTCTGTTCCGCGGCTTCTTCAAATTGCAACGAAAGCTTCCGCTGACACGTAGCTACCGGGAAGCCTCTGGGCTCCACCAGAAGCACTGGCCGCTTCCTGGAAGGCTCAGTGTTGCTCCAGGCGCCAGCCCACTTTCTCTTCCAGACGCTCTAAGGCCTGTCACATAGAAGCGAAAGAAGGCAGGGCCTGCGGCTGGGAGCGTTTCCCCTCCGAAGCAGCGCTTCTCCGGAGCGAGGGTGCGGACCCTCCTGCCGGGATCGCCGTGCAAGCGGAGAGGCCTCCCCAAGAGCTGCTGTCCCCCGGCCACCTGCGAGGTCGCCGCTTCTCTTGCTTCGGGTCTCTCAGCTAACGGTAAGGGCCGGGGAATGAAGGCGGCGGTCTGAGCGTCCCTCGCGGAGCATTTGCTTCCTCCCCTGGCACTGAGAAAAGGCTTAAATCTCCCGCTCCTGGCTTTGTGCTTTGAGAAGGTCCGTTTAACTGTTCCGCTCCTGGCTTTGTTCAGCCGCTGCCGCCCTCGTCGGTGCTTCGCTCCTCCCGATGAGGCTCACCCGGGCAAACCCTCCCGAGAAGAAGGTATTCGGCCTTAGCTTTTCCTCCTTCCCAGCCGCTCCCACCTTCGCGCGTAACGTGTATTCGCAGCGCGCCCTTCCTCCCTTGGAGAATTTACACTGTCGAGATGACATTTGCTTCACGTGAAGAACCTTGCTAACTATTTCCAGACTCGGCATTGTTTTCGAGTTGGTGACAGATATCCTGCTTTAGTACATCTCCTCTGACATTTCTCCGGGTATTTGCTCCCCAGGTAATAATTCCGGGGTCTTTTTGTCCTTTCTTGCAGAGTGGGAAGGGAGGGGGGGGAAGCACATTTGCTCTTGTCCCCTTCTCCGGCATCTCTCCAATTCTGCAGTTCCTCAAAGAAGTCCTGATAGTTCTTCAGCCAGTTTATTCAGTATTCTGGGGATTATTTCATCAGGCCTGGGAACTGAAAGCGTTCAAATTAGCTTGAAGATCCCTTTAGCATGCCCTTACTGACCTGCACCCTCCCCTGTCTGTATTCCCAAATGAACACATTTGTGGCACATTTAAATCATCATTTAAATCACTAGTAAAAAGGCTTGATTTAAATTGACTCAATTTAAATCATAATTTTTAAAGAGCAACTGTCCTGCAGCAGCTCCTTCACTGACCCACTGTTGACTCACCGACTGTCCCATTCACTTTAATGGGATGGCGGGTGATGCTGCAGTGATACAACAAGATGAGGGATGTGGCAAGCAGCAGGTCAGTGGATGTCCACTGACAGGCACAGCCATGATGGATCTGAATTGACAGGTGGTTTTTAATATTATATTTAGAAGCTGCTTTCACTTTCATTTTTACTGCTTGCCCTTCCTCCTCACACTTAGAGCCTGGTGGTACAGATTCATTTCTCTTCAAACAATCATACAGTTTGTAGTGTACATAGATTTGCAAAACAATGGGATAAAGGAATATCCCTAAACTTTATGTTATGATTTATCTCATAGTTACTGTGAAATTGTGTGAATGCATCAATGCAGTGCATGTTATCTCAGTTTGCAGAGCTTGGATTCATTGAATAAGTTTACGAAAAATGTAAATATTGCTGAATATACAGCCTCATGCTACATAACTAAGCTCCATTTCCTGTTGAATTAACTAAATTATTAATGTATCTTAAATAGAAGACTATCTTTAGATAGATTTTACTCCAAAAGCATTTTATTAAATACATTTGATAAAAAATTTAAAAAATCCAATTCAAATAAAAAAAATCTGGTTTAAATTTTAAAAAACTGATTTTTTTTGTTTTGTTTTTTTAAAAAATAGATTTTTATCTACCCTGATAAATAGTGAAGGAAGATTATCACTGGAGCAATACAAGAATGTGTATAGGAATATTTTTCAAATTTCCTTAAGTTTTTTAATCAACATAACTTTTGTGCAATCATGAAATACTCTGCATGCAAACCATGGCAAATTAAGTTTAATATGTTTGTTTTATTTGGGAGAATTATGTAATACAAAGGGCCACTATAAATAGCTGCTTTTTTTTTTTAAAGAAAGCAAATATAAATGTTTACATAATAAAACAGAAATGATTAACTTAAACCAATCAACAATGACCTTAAACCAAACTATGAATTTGCTCAATAGAGATCATTGGCATTCTTTAGTCTCAAGAGACTATGGTATCGTGCTCTGGAAAGAGGTCCTAAAACAGCAGCTAGTGTGACTAAAAAGGCCAATTCGAGAGTGGCAATCCCTTCCACACTGAGGGCAGATACATTCTGTCCCCTGCCCAGCCCCCAGATTTCGCTGGTTCTGGGACTGCCTCTTTGCCTCAGCCTGCCGAACAAGTGTCTCTTCAAATTGGACAAGGCCATGCTGCGTCTTTAGCCTCCAAGCTGAATGATCGGAGGCCAAGGTTTCCCAGTTGTTAATGTCCATTCCTAGGGCCTTTAGGTCCCTCTTGCAGATATCCTTATATTGCAGCTGTGGTCTCCCTCTGAGGCGCTTTCCCTGCACTAATTCTCCATACAGGAGATCTTTTGGAATCTGACCATCAGCCATTCTCACGACATGCCCCAGCCAGCGTAGACATCGCTGTTTCAATAGTGTATACATGTTAGAAATTCCAGCACGTTCCAAGACTGCGCTATTTGGAACTTTGTCCTGCCAGGTAATGCCAAGAATTCATCGGAGACAGCACATATGAAAGGTGTTCAGCTTTCTCTCCTGCCATGCATAGAGAGTCCAAGATTCACTGCAGTACAAGAGTGTGCTCGGGATGCAGGCTCTATAGACCTGGATCTTTGTATGTTCCGTCAGCTTCTTATTAAGCCATACTCTCTTTGTAAGTCTGGAAAATGTGGTGGCCGCTTTACCAATACGTTTATTTAGCTCAGTATCTAAAGAGAGAGTGTCAGAGATAGTTGAGCCGAGGTACACAAAGTCATGAACTTTGTGCAGAGATTGTAATACAGGGAGGTGAATCCACGTCCTGACCGATGACTTGTGTTTTTTCGGGCTGATTGTTAATCCAAAGTTTTAGCAGGCCTTGCTAAAACTGTCAATAGAGATAACAAAACAAAATGTCTATCGTTTCCAAACTATACTTCAGATTACAGATTTGTCCACAATAATACTCATGAGCTTTCATCATTTCCTGAGTAAACCACATTAAAGATTTACACACACACACACACACACACACACACACACAGAGGACGAAACAGGTAAAAGGTGGGGTATAAATGAATGGATTCCATATTTTTCCAAGGGCATTAATTTTAAGACATTAGATGATGTCTTTGAATATCAATGTATCTTTAATTTGCACCTACATGTTTTTGAAGCATGTACTATATGTTATCAAACTTTCAGAAAGGACATAGATACATACCATTTCTGAAATAGACTTAAAGTTATGTCCTGTTCTCTTTTGGAAATGTATTTAAATTTAGAAAATTTAAAATGTTTTCTAAGTATTCCTTATTTTGCAAGATCTGTTTTGTCCAGCCACCAGATGTTTATGTGGCTCCAAACGCAAGGACGTTTTCTAAATTTAAAAAAGAAGTGTATCAAAGATTAGCAGGCTTGGGGGAGTCAGAATTGAATAATAAAAAGAAATCAATAGTTTGGCTTTAGGAAATGTCCCCAGCAATGTGTAAGGACCAACAAAGGATAAATACATTGTACATATTTATGTATTTACATGTTTTCATAGCTCCCACTGATCCTATAGATTTTCCAATCCCTACAAGTCCATTTGGAGGGATCTCAAGCTAGCTGTCTAATTATTGCAAAAACTGTGCATTTAGGAGGATAAAGTAGAAATATACAGAATGAAAACTGCATTGCAATAGGTGCCCAGGTGTTCCGTTAAAAAGCTTGTCTAAATTGGCTGGAAGCAGTTTGGAATTGGACGTTGTTTCCCACCAGTTTTGTTTTGCCAAATTTAAAACAGGATTGGCTGGCTATACTGAGGATATGGTAAGTTGGGTATTATACAGTGGTGGGATTCAATTTTTTTAACAACCAGTTCTGTGGGCATGGCTTAGTTGGGGGTGTGGCTTGGTGGTCATGTGACCGGGTGGGTGTGGCTAGCTGGTCATGTGACCGGGTGGGTGTGGCTATGTGTATAGGGACTACTCAGAGGGCTGAAAAAAGTCATTTCTGACTGGTCCTCACACTTTTGACCTGTCCTCGCACTTATGACCATCCTCACATTTATGCCCGTTGCGGCATTCTTAACAACCGTGTCACTCATTTCACAACTGCTTCTCTTCATTATGGTGACAAGATAGGGCAAAAACGTAAAATGTGAGGACCAGTCAAAAATAACTTTTTCAGCCCTCTGAGTAGTCCATATGCACAAAAGGATACAGCAATAGAGAGGGATGAAGGAAGGGAAGGGAAATTAGAGTAGGAGTGAGGGTAAGAAAGGGAGGAAGAGAGGAGGAGAATGAGAAAGGAAGAGGAAGTAGGGAGGAGAAGAAGAGGGGGGGAAGAGAAAGTAAGAAGGAAAGAAAAGAGAGGGGTATTAGGTTTGAGGAGAAAGATTGCTGTACAATAAAAAAGGTGAAAGGGAAGAAAGCCAACCCCAAACAAATATAAAGATATTAAGATAAAGAATGAATTGTTAAACTTTAAAGAATAAAAAAGAACAAATATGAATAAATAACAATAGTTACAAACACACATACAAACATACAATGTATTTTCTTTGAACAGAGTATTTGGCTGGTTCACAAATTTAAACAGTGTTTAGTCATTTCAATTAAATTTACAATTTCTATATTTCCTTTTTGCCATATTTATTCCTTATCTATTTTTTTAAAAAAAACAATATTACCCTTCATCCTCATCTCTAATCTTAATCAAATTCAATTTTTCCCTTCTATTCTATATTATACCCCTTCCCATTGTCATCTATTTTTATATCCATCCTCACATTGGTTAATTATGTAATACAGTTGTTTAATACAAATTCAACATTTTAATATAGATCAATTAGTTATATAACTATCTTTTTTGTATATTAATCAATATGAACATGAATATTCCAATTATTTCCATGCAATCCAATTTCTTACAAATCAATTAATTATATTTACCAATAATAATAAACCAAATAATTTCCCCCATATATTCCTCCAAACCATAACTTAACCATTTCTGCTTTTAACACAATATACAATTAATAGTATCTCAATTATTACAATTCCCTAGTTAAATAGAGCTTTTTTTCTTTTGTGTTTTAAAATCTTGAACTCTCCTCTTTTGCCCTAAATTTCCCATTGTTTGCACCTACCGTTTTTGGTGAGGAGAAAGAAAAAGAAAAAGAAATCTCTCTCCCTGCCTCATTTTGTCAGTTGCAGCAGAGCCTGCTTTACTTTCAGTTTCCTTTTAGCTAGGGAAAAAAAATCTGCTCCAGCACTCTTTGCAGCAAGCAAAGAGCTTGCAAAACAAGAGCTTGCAAACGAGCCTACAAAACAGCTGAGAGCGAATCAGCTGAGAGTCGGAGGCCGATCTAATCATGCTAATTAACCTATGCTGAAGCTGAAAGAGGCTGTTTTTTTCTTGCTGTTTGCTTGCAAGGAGGTAAGTGCTGTGAGGCACAGGTCAAAGGGGGGGCCACCTCCTTGCCACTTAGCCCCCCTGTCGCCCCCCTTGCCTCTAGCGTCCCTCTGCCGCCCCCTTGCCGCTTCCTGCCCCCCTAAGGCATCCCACCGCCCCCCAGGGGGCGGTACCGCCCACTTTGGCAACCACTGGCTTAACTACTTAACAACCGGTTCTACCAAAGTAGAATCCCACCACTGGGTCTACCCATTTATATTTGCAGGCACCGATCTACTCATTTGTTTTCTTTTAACACTGATCAGCTGTAGGGCGGTCCTTTGAAGCCCCGCGGCAGCTGCGAGGCCAATAAAATTATAAAAAAACACCGAACCGTTTGTTAAATTGCTGGCTCGCCCACCCCTCGCCCAGTGGTGCGGAGGGGCGGGGCAAGGGGCGGGGCGAGCCAGCAATTTAACAAACGGTTCGGCTGAACCCCCTAGAACCGGCAGAATCCCACCACTGGTATTATATGACATCCAAAGTTCCCTTGAGACAACTCTGTGTATTTGGATAACACAGATTCTGATGTTCTTTATTTCTAATATTAGTATTATTACCATTATGAAATTTTGTGTGTGTGTGTCAAAGTTGAATTCATCCTGTGTAGCAGATTACTCATTTTAATTTCTAGCTTTGTTCTCGTTGTCTTTATTTTTGTGTTAACTCATGTACAGTATCCGTTTCACAAACAGAACTGAGAGCAACCTTCTGAAGTATGAGACCTAAATGCTTTCTAGCATTTTATAACTGAAGATCCTAGAAAGCGCATCTAGAATGTGCAAGGAAAAAATGTTTTTTTTCTATAACCAAGTAATGGTCTCTCATCTTACGAAACCGCACATAAAGATTCTTTGCTCTTCTTAAAGAATATCTTCTTAAACTTTTTTAGAGGGCCTGGTTGGAGTTCACAGTCAGATTTAAACATATTTCTAATTAAATATTTTTGAGCCCCATGTGAAGACATTCAAAGCAAAGTATAAGTAGTGTTAGAGGATACTAGCTTGTGAAATGTAGTAGTGCATTTTTAAAAATGTACTGTTTAGAGCCATGAGGTGATGGGTTAATAGTGTTTTAATCTCTCAAATATTTTTCTAAGGTGACTTCAGTAATGACAGCGATGACAAGAAGGAAGTGTGCATTTTGTCCAGATAATGAACCGTGTGCAATTATGTACATTGCTGAAGAACGGAATCTTGCAGTTCATCAGAACTGTTTGGTGAGGTTTGCTAGTGACATTCAAACTGTGTCCATAACTGATTGGAAAATGAAAAAAAGTCTGAAGCACTTTTGTGAGGCAATTCATAATTGATACACCTATTTCTTTAATGCCATATGTACTATACTTTTATAGGTATGCACTACAGTTTCAAGAGTAAAAATTTAAATACTTTCCTGGCTTAAAGTAGACTGGAGTACAAGAAGACCATAACAGGACTAATTATTTTGGAAGATCAGAAGTACTACAATGCTGATAATTCTATAAAAATAACATTTTTATAGTGGTAGCAGCAGAGATTGTTTAGGAGCATAAATGACCGTTCCAGGCAATTGCTATAATAAATCATGAGTCCATTCCTCTATTTCTCTGTCCCTTTCCTTATGCCTTTTTTTATGTTCATGTAATCCACATTTTGCAGACTTTGATGGCACTGTAAGTAATTAATATCCTGCCTTTATTATTTCTGTAAATAACTCTGTCTAACATATCTAATATTCCTCCTATTGTCCCCACAACAATAACCCTGTTAGGTGTGTTGAACCGAGAGAGAGAGAGTGACTGGCTCAAAGTCACCCAGCTGGCTTTCATGGCCAAGATAGGACTAAGAACTCACGAGCTCACAGTTTTGTCCCGTCCTTCGTGCGATGAGTTGGGGTGAAGGACGGTCCTGGGAAAACAGACTGAAACTGTGAGGTGGGGGCGGATGATCTGGTTAGGCCATGGCGCGCTCAATCAAAGTCCTCTATACTGGCCTAATCAGGCTCCCTTCGCTTCATAGGCCTTAAAGGCCCACTGTGTGAGGGAGCACCATCAATCAAAGGCCTCTGTACTGGCCTAATCAGGCTCCCTTTCCCCTCCCATGACATCATGAACAAATGTATCTCTAGGACACCTCAACAATACACAAGCAAATAATAGATACAAACCGTTCCAAACTCGATTGCAGAAAATACGACTTCAGCAACAGAGTGGTCAATACCTGGAATGCAATAGCTGACACTGTAGTTTCTTCCCCAAACCCCCAAAACTTTGATCTCATCCCATTCCTAAGAGGGTGTGCATAAGTGCACCAACATGGCTACTGTCCCTGTCCTAATATTCCTTTTTACTTACTCTTTTCATGTATTCAAATTATGTTTATACTTTTACCTGTTATCTTATACTGTATATGCTTGACAAAATAAACTTATGACTTATGACTTAAAGGCCCAGGCTTTCCAGATTTATACTGGAACACATACACACCCACATACACACACACACACACACACACGGGTTTCTTAGCCCCACAGTGCTTGTCTCCGGAGGGTAAGTCATCTGTGTACCAAGTTTGGTCAAAATTGAGGCATTCCAGAGTTATGCTTGAACAAACATACATACATACATCCCGATAGATAGATAGATAGATAGATAGATAGATAGATAGATAGATGATAGATAGATAGATAGATAGATAGATAGATAGATAGATAGATGAGAGGAAGAGAGCCTTTCCCCCTCACTTTTCACCTTGATCAAGGCCCAGAGAGCTGGATTTTCAAGGCATCCCGCTTACCCTGAATCTATAGCATCTAGTGTGCTGGTTTTGTTTCTCTTTTTCCTTTTCCATTGGGAAAAGGGGCTCCCTGAGAAGCTGATTTTGCTCCTTCCCTGATGAAAAAGGTGAACTGTGACTAGAGTCCCAGGGAGAGGAAGGGAACATGCAATGGACAACTTTGTACTCAAATGAATCAAGAGGGGCTCTAAAAGGTTTTTGAAAGTTTTGGCCATCCAGGCTAGAAATTTGAGTGGTATGAAGATGCTCAAGGTTTTCTAAATATACTGTGAAGAAAAAAGAACCACATGGAAACAAGTTAGACTTCATAATACTGTGTATTTATCCTAAACTTGGATAATGTTTATATTTTATGTTGTGCTTTTTTTAATTAAAAAAGGCGGTCATTTTCCTATGGAAGGACTGGAGAACTGGAATCACAATCCTCACATTGGCAGAAGTAGAAGTGGGAGAATAGGACCAGAAAAGAAAAATTATGTTCAATCCATACTGCAGTTGGATTCAGAAATGGGGAATTTGGAGAGGATATTTTCATAAAACCTCTTCTGAATTATTTTCAAGCAAAGTGGTAAACTTATTATAATTAGATATCAAAATTTAGGAGTTTGAACAGTTTTTCTTGGGAATACCTCCTCCTTAGATCATCTCTTCTCCAAAGCCCCTTTTCTCTAACCCCCCTGACTCATTGTCAATTGTAAATTTATGAGGTAGCACTGATCCCCAGCCAATTCTAGCTGCTATTTTTAATATTTTATTTTGTCATGTCCTCTTGTTTTAAATCTTACTTTTTTATTTCATTTCTAGTTATTTTCTTCAGGATTTATGGAAGTGGGAGAAGAGGACCCTGAGGATCTTGATAAAAGGTTTGATGTGGCTTCAGTAGAGAAAGAAATAAAGAGAGGAAAGCGGCTGGTAAGTCATTTTTCATGTTTTAAAATTATATATCTGAATTACTTAAAATAATTTATTTTCACATTAAGCATTTGGAATGTCCACTTTGGATGCGTAAAGATTACAATATGAACCAATAGTGTAGTTGTCCCCCTGTCTCATTGATAGAAAGACTTTTGATCCTACTGCTGTTTTCTCCCCCATTTTAAAACATAGGGAGAGTAAAAAGGGTTTTTGTGGGAGGGGAACTGACAGAGAAAAATGAATAAAAATACTACAATTTCATCAGTTAACACCTCCCTGCAGAGGAGCAGTGTTATTTACATGAACTAGAAAACACAAATCTTTAGGGAGCCCCACTTACTGTACATAGGCTGTCATCATGAGTAGTAATTAAACAAAATACCGTATTTTTTGGAGTATAAGATGCAATTTCCCCCCCCCCCTAAAAGAGGCTGAAAATTTGGGTGTGTCTTATACTCTGAATGTAGCTTTTTCAAATCTTTTTTTCAGCCCTAAGGAGGCGCTAGCAAGTGAAGCTATCTCCTTGCTTTGCCTGCTACCTCCGACTCTCAGTTGTGCTTTAGAAACTTTTTTTTAGCCCTAGTGAAGCGATCTCTGTGCTTTGCCTGCTTTTCTCATTGCTTCTCTCTCCAAAGATCAGTTGTGCTTTAGAAGCTGTTTTTTATCCCCAAGCAGGGGATAAAAAGAATGCTCGCACACTCAAAATTAGCAAACTAATCTGCTGAAGCTGACCAGACTAAGGATGCTAGCCAGATGAATACCTGGTAGGCAGATTTTTTCCCCCTATTTTTCTCCCCAAAAACTAAGCTGTGTCTTATACTCCGGTGCGTCTTATACTCCGAAAAATACAGTAACTCCAGTGGTGGGATTCTACCGGTTCGCACTGGTTCGATAGAACCAGTTGTTAAGTAGTTAAGCAATTCGGAGAACTGGTTGTTAGAAGAAATCTCCTTTTGTTTTGTTTTTTTCACTTTACAGGGTTAATTCTGTAAGGAATTACAACTTTCTGGTGTTGTTTCCTAGCCTAATCTTTATTGCCCTGCTTACAGAAATTGCCTCTCCCTTAACCCTTATTATATTCTTGGCAGTATGCCTAGACTTACTGTCACTTCCCATTCTGGAGCTTCTCAGAGGTTTTTTTTTGTTGCTTGACTTTCTTAAAGGGGAAGGATTGTTTTAAGTTTTTTACACTGCTGTTGGGAGGAAATACTCCCCTGTTGGAGTTTTTCCAGCCAGGGTGTAATGATTAGCAGTTTGAAGAACTAATTGAATAATGAAGTAGAAGCTTTTAATGACAAGGAACCAAGATGAGTGACATTCAGCAAGGCTTATTGGCTAGCTAGAAAGATTGACATTCAAACATGAGTTTACATACCCTTTCTGACTTTTGGTCTAAAACTGGTTTTTGGTGAAGTTTAATTCTGTGCTTGTGATGTTTAATCCTGTGTTTAGTGATGAGATAATTTTCCTTATTCAGCTTTGTTTGGAAGGAAAAATGTTAATCTCTGTTCCTGAAAAAAAGCAGCTTCGGAAATCTGAGTAGTTCCTGTGTCTATTTGTTCTGGAAATTGGTTTAGCAAGCAACAGCTACTGTGTTTCCTCCTCTGCTTCATTCTGGAGAGTTTAAATGACCTCTCTGCTAAAGGGTTTCACTTTATGAGCAAGAGTTGACTGCTGATAGTTATCATTGCATTTTAACTATTTTAATTCCTCAAGGTGCTCTGCCACCCTGCCTGATTTGTAACTCCAGTTTGCAGGTATTTCTAATTTAATGATTGGTATTTAGGGCAGCTTTTTGCAAGCAAAAAAGCTTTTTGTATTTTTGTACAGGTAATCCTTGAGTTACAACAGTTAAAATGGCACTGAAAAAAGTGACTTATGACCGTTTTTCACACTTACAACCATTGCAGCAAACTGTCATTAGGGCAAAGAAGCAATGCCACATGACCACCTGGCCACGCCCAACCGGTCACATGAAGCACTGCAGTTGTGAAATGAATGACATTTTATTTCACAATGAAATGTGAAATGTTGTTAAGTTGTTAAGAATGCTGCAATGGGCATAAATGATGACCTGTCAGAAATCACTTTTTTCAGCCCTCTGGGTAGTCCCTATGTGCATAGGACTACTCAGAGGGCTGAAAAAGTTATTTGTGACCTGTCCTTGCACTTTTGACCAGTCCTCGCACTTACAACAGTCCTCACATTTTACATTTTGCTCCCTATCTTGTCACCATGGTGAAGAGAAGCAGTTGTGAAATGAGTGACATGGTTGTTAAGAATGCTGCAACTGGCATCAATGTGAGGATGGCCATAAGTGTGAAGACAGGTAAAAAGTACGAGGACCAGTCAGAAATGACATTTTTCAGCCCTCTGAGCAGTCCCTGTGCACATAGCCACCCGGTCTAAAAAAATTGAATCCACTGAGTAACTCCCATGTGGTTTCATATTCTTGCTACAAAGCAGAGATTACACTTTACTCTAAATGGTTTAGTTTAAACAGGATCACAGGACAGAAGCCAGCATGTGATGGGTGATGGAGAAGTAAATGGGTCTAATGACACTTCCTAGTTTTATAAACTGCAGTTTAAAAAGTGATTTCGATTTGTTTCCATACAGGTGTGCAATGTCTGTCGCAAGAAGGGGGCAACCATTGGCTGCGAGGTCAACAACTGCCGCAAAAGTTTCCATTATTTTTGTGCCTTGAGAGGTGATGCTTCAATGGAAACAGATGAAGATCAAGGCCACTACCGGTATATAATCAATTTAAGTTACTTTTCTGAGAATCCTGTATAACTTATTTATGTTTTGAAATTATCTGAATGGTAAAAGAAGAAAGCAAAAAAGCTATTGGTTCCAGCTATTGAATTCAGCAACAAGATGGCAAAATCAAGACATTTTATTATCTAGAATGCTTAGAAATACAGAAAGGACTAGAGGTCTGTATGCTATAGAAAAATAAGCACTCAATAATCAGAGTTGAGGGAGAAAATATTGCTATATCATTCATGTTTGCCCTTAAGTTTGGGATTGCTAGGATTCTGGCTGGAAAAGATAGAGACTACTGCATTATCAAGATGCCTTCTGAAATATTTTGAAATCTATGTTAGTTCTGAATATATATTCTTTAGGCTAGGACAGGGGTCAGCAACCTTAAACACTCAAGGAGCCACTTGGACCCATTTTCCACAGAAAAAAACACACCGGAACCACAAAACCTGGGTGATCGTGGCCAACTTGATGTCACTCACTCCCATCCAGTCACATGAACCCCCCCCCAGCCACGCCTACCCAGCCACAAAACCATTCTGTCTCCCTATCTCCCCCTCTCTCCCCCCCAGTGTCTCTCTCCCTCTGTATCTCTCTCTCCCACTCCCTCTCTTCCTCTCTCTCACCCCTCTCTATGTATCACACTATGTGTCTTTATGTCTCTCTCTCTCCACCTCTCTCTGAATGTGTGTGTGTGTGTGTGTGTGTGTGTGTGTGTGTGTGTCCCTCCCTTCGGGCGACTGTCCTCCTACCCCCCCTCTCGTGATGCCCTGGTGGGCCATGGCTAAGCCCGAAGCGTGTGCACGCACGGGGAGACCCTCCCCAAGCGAGTGCCAAAGCGCAGCAAAGGCGCACATGGGGTGGGTGGCCGCTCACTTAGGAGGGTCTTAACAAGACATGGTTTCTCTCCTGTACTAATGCTCCGGCCATCGCCTTGCCGTTTCATCCCCCACCCTGGCAGCTCTTCAGCTGAGTGCGGAGACTGTGAACTCCAGCCCGAAGCGGCAGGAAGCAAAGGCTGCCTTACATACAAATGTAGCACGGAGGCAGGTACAGGGAAGCTTTGCTTCTGCATTCTCCTCCTCCTCCCACTCTCGTGACACCCTGGCCAGTTGTGGCTGAGCTGGGAGCATGCACATGCGTGGGGAGACCCTCCTTAAGCAAGCTGCTGCCCGCCCCACGGGCACCTTTCCTGAGCTTCGGCGCTTCCTTGAGGAGGGTCTCCCCACATGTGTGCACACTCCTGGCTCAGCCACAGCCAGGGCGTCACAAGAGTGGGAGGAGGAGATCCAGTGGTGGCCAGATCATTGGAGCAGAAGAAAAGCCGCATCCTGTTAAGACCCTCCTAAGCGAGTGGCCGCCCACCCCACACACGCCTTTGCTGTGGTTTGGCGCTTGCTTGAGGAGTGTCTCCTCGCACGTGCGCACACTCCTGGCTCGGGGGAGGAAAGCGCAGGAGCGAAGCTACCTGTATCTGCCTTTGCACAACATTTCCGCATTAGGCAGCCTTCGCTTCCTACCGCTTCGGGCTGGAGTCAAAAAAGAAATAAGAGGGGCGAGGGGCGGGGACAACCAGTGATGGGACAGGGAGCCGCATGCAGCTCCAGAGCTGCAGGTTGCCAAACCCTGGGCTAGGATGAAGCTGACTTTTTGTAACTGCCAAAGTGAGCATTTACTCACTTTACTCACTACAGAAAAATGAATTCAGAGTGTGAGAACTTCTAAGGTAGCCCGGTATCAGAAGCTGGGAATGGTTATTAAATTCCAGTACAGTTAATGCAGGTGGGCTTCCACAATAGATGTCTACTCCCAAGGACTCAAGACAGGCCCATAGTGACTCATAGAAAAAAGGAAATACTTGATAAGTAAAGTTGCATTTATCTAATGGAAATAATTGAGAGGTAACTAAATTTTATTTCTACTCAAAGACCAATTCAAAAGATTGAACAGACTTATGGTAACATAATGAACAGATACGTGTGGTGAAAGATAAAGAAATCCAAAACTGCTCAGACAATGTACTACATTGAATGAGCCGGTCTGTAAATCATCAATGTGTAGCTATTTCCAAAGCAGCACATTCAGCAATATCAGTAGAACAGAATTTAACCATCCACAGATTTCCAGGGAATAAATCAGCTGGTAGAAAAGTACATTCTCCTCATCTAACCTACAAGGATGGTTAGATTTCAAAAGCATTATTAAATCAGCCCAGTGAAATGGGAAGTACTGTGAAATGTGCATGGCTCTGGTTCTTTTGAACTGGAGATTTATTATATCTTGCCTCAATAAGCATTGGTGGGAAGGCATCAAACGTGCCTAAAGAGAGGTTTCCTGCCGTGACACCAGGGGTGGGATTCAGACGGTTCAGACCGGTTTGGGAAAACCGGTTTTTACGATTTCATACAGTTCAGGTAACCAGCAAATTGTACAACCAGCTGGCCCCGCCCCTTCCTGCCCAGCCCTGCCCAGTCACTCCTCATCTCATCTGCTTGCCCACCATTGCTAACCTTCCTTTGCACGCCATTGCTGCCTTACTGCCTTCGCCTGCCATTGCTGCCTGCTTTCGCCCGCCATTGCTGCCTGCTGGCCTTCGCCCACCATTGCTGCCTGCCTGCCATTGCTGCCTGCTTTCGCCCGCCATTGCTGCCTGCTGGCCTTCGTCCGCCATTGCTGCCTGCCTGCCTTCGCCTGCCATTGCTATCTGCTTTCGCCCGCCATTGCTGCCTGCTGGCCTTCGCCCGCCATTGCTGCCTGCTTGCCTTTGCCTGCCATTGCTAACCTGCCTTCTGCCGTGGCCCTGATCTCCCTGGGTGAGTGAGAGCCTGCAGGCTCTGGTCAAGTTGACTCCTGGGCCAGCCTAGGATCGCAAATCCCAGTTGAGTCAATTCCTGGGCTGGGCCTACCTTCTGCTGCCACCGCGGTGGCAGAAACCCCTGGTCAAGTGCCGACTTCTGGCCAGGCCTAGGCTGCCGCCCTGCCCCCCCAGCCTTGCCTGCCTGCCTTCCCTACTCACTTCCCTGTGCCCTTCCTGATGGTCACCGTGGAAGGGAATATTTAAAAAATTGCCTCCAGGTTACCTGCTGCCTTGCTTTGCGCAGCCCAACGCCGTCAGTGTGATCAGCCTGCGAGCCTCCCCGAATCTGCCTGCCTCCCACATGACCTGCTACCTTGGATAAGTTGCTCTTTGGTTTTTTTTTAAATAAGCAATTTTTTAAAATAAATTTTAAATTAATTAAATTAATTTAAAAAATCAATATTTACATGGTGTACGGTTGGGTGCAATTAATTTTGTGTAATGATAATGGCAATTTTTCATAACAATAATGATCACATATTTATAATAATTGTTTATCCATTTTAGTGAACTTTCCTTAAATAATTGGTCTTTTCTTATATACTTCTAGATTTCTAACTTCTGTTTCTGTTAGCCATTGATAAAACAAATCCTATGTTAAGAAATATTCAGTTTCTTCCTTCTCCTTAATTTTAAGTGTTCTAATCTATCCATTTCTGCACATTCTAATATTTTTTAATTACATTTTCATCTATAGGGATCTCTTCGTTTTTCCACTTTGTGCAAACATAATTCTAGCTGCTGTTAACACATGTAAAATTAAATATGTATTTTATTATATTTATTTGTAGAAAAATATTTCTGGTTTTAAATCTATATTTTGCATTACCATTTTTTCTAACCATGACACTACTAACTCTTGAATAGCTACTTGACTTGAGTACAAGCTGAACCTAATTCATATATTTCTGTTTTTTAAACTGAGGAATAAATTTCAGAAAAAGAATTCAAAATTGCTCTGTGAATGTGCCTATGAATTTCATTCTTAATCTAACTTCTTAGATGATTTTTTACTATATCTTTTTTTTGTACTAGATATGCATAAGGCTGTACATGTTTAAGGTGAAAAGTCTAAAAAGCTTAGGCGACTAAGCATGGCTTCCCCTGGCTTCTCTCTCTCTCTGCTGTCGAGAGAGCATTCCATTAGGGACTGTTGATCCAGATAAGACCTGGGCTAATGTAAAGTGGTCTTGGCTAGGAAAGATTTTTGTGCCAATACTGGCACAAAATAACAAACTCCCATGGTTTGTTAATTGTATTTCCATTTTAAGTGTCAATTAATTAATTATAATTATGAAAATACCAGCCATTCTTTTATATATACAGTGTAACATCTTTTGCATGTCATTCTTATAGGCTGTCATTTTCAAATCCACTTTCAGCTCAGTCTCAGTCTTGTCTGGTGAAACTTGTTCCTCTTCCATAACATCTTTTAAACACTAACTAAGCTCCTCGTCTGCTTTCTTCGCTTGCCAGCCTTCACCACTCACCCAGTCACATGACCCCCCCAACCACGCCAACCCGGTCACATGACCACCTAGCCACGCCTACCCAGTTACATGACCACCTAGCCACACCCACCTAGCCACGTCCCCAATCCACGCCCACAGAACTGGTTGTTAAAAAATTTGAATACCACCACTGCATGACACACATATATTAATAAAGCTAGGATAAAAAGTATTCTGGTCAGACCTTCATTATAACAATGGAGATGAGCATTAAATATACATTGATATACGATAACTTCAGCAAAGTATTCTCTGTTTCAAATGGGATATTTAAGATCTAATTCTGTATCTTTTCTTAGGATGATGAATTTTTCTACCTGGCTCAGAAGGACTAGCAATCCTCCACTGAAATTTCCATAGAAATAAATTTCCATTTCATTCACAAATGGAGTTTGAGAGGCACTGGGGAACCAGAATTCCTCTTATAAATGTACAAGATATCATTTCTAAGGGTCATAAATCTTTGTATTTAGAAATAACATAAATAGTCCTATGTTTGTAGTGTTAACAGCTTTAATTTGTAAAAATGATAAAGGTATGATTCCAAGTTTTTAAAGGGCTTAACTTGCTCTTTATATCTTCACTGTTTATCTTCCAGCAGTAATTACAATACAAAAAAGCCACTGCTTTTGTTTTGGCATAACTGACAATCAGTTTTTCCTGTCTGCAATGTCTTGAAAGTTCCTCCTTGAGCCTAGTAGCATTGTAGAAAGGATATACTGTAGGCATCCTCAACTGATAGAATAGGAATGTGTTATTCTTCTGGTGTTAACACTGATTGTCATCTGCTTATTCATTCATTCATTTATTTACAAAAAAAATGCTGATTACTCATTCGTCTTTGCTAAATGTTTATAAAAATGAAAATATTTGCTTCTATAAGTTTATTTCTTTTTCTGTTCCTCTATTAGCCTGTTCTGCCCAAGCCACATTCAAGCAAAGAGATCCCGTCTTTATGGTATGTATTTAGAGAATTTGTTGAAATCTGCTTCTGCTTTAGCAAGGGTTCTGAAGTACATTTTAGAAAAATATAGCCATTGTTGCAACACTCTGCTGGGATTTCTTTCTGGTTTTTTTCTTGAAGTATTATAAGAAATTGTGTGATCAAATATCTCGTTACTTTATTTTCTAGATGAAAACAATGAGACGGCAATGCCCCTGGTCCTAACAGAATCCTCTTCCACTACTACCAAAATGGTAATGAATTTGCCTTTTCAGTATCTCAGTGAGACATTTCTAAAAGTTTTAGGAGGCCACACTTCTTCATCACCTTCTGTTGTGACTCAGGCACACATGCCTCACCTGGTAGGGGCAGAATTTCAGATTCTTAGAGCATCTCAGATACATTTTATTTTTATTTTGACCTGTATCATTTTCTGACTGATCACTGCCACTGCTGCTACATCACTAGAGACTGATATCCTTCTTGAACTAGAGCTGTTAAGCATACTACTAGACACACACCCATTAAATGCTGTTTGATTATTTCTTTTTTGTTTCTGAATTTTTGAGAGGGGAATGTCTTTTCCAATTAATCTGAGAAACAAGTGAATGATGCATTTCAGCTCCTATTTCCATGGTGGTGAACCTATGGCACGCGTGCCAGAGGTGGCACATACAGCCCCCCTCTGTGGGCACATGTGCCTTTGCTGCAGCCCAGCTCCATCGCATTTCTCACCATGGTTTGCATGGGAAAAAAAGTTTGTAGGATTAAAAAAAATTCACTCAATCAATTCCAACTTTGCATGAAAGAAAAAGATCTCATGAAGTTGGAATTGATTGAGTAAACTTTTTCACTCGTGTGCTTCATAATGGGGGAGATGGGATCCCCTTGCCCTGAAGCCCATTACGACACGGAGCCACAATAAGACCCTGCATCATCTCAGCTCGTTCTGGCTTCCTGGATGTCAGTTGCTTTTCCTGCAGAGCTGCCTGTGTTGGGATGCCCTGCCTCCCTGCCGGCCAGCTGAGCTTCGGCGCACTGCTCCTAGGCTCATCAACCTACAGACGTGAGATTCCCATCACTAATCACCAGTTCAGGGGTACCTTACCCCTCATGGGGGAGGGAGAGAGAGGGAAAGGGAGGAAAGAATGAGAGAGAGAGAGGAAGGGAGGAGGGAAGAGAAAAGGGGGGAAAAGAAGGAGGGAAAGAGAAACAGAGGGAGGGAAAGAAACAGAGACAGAGAGAGGGTGGGAAAGAGAGAGGGTGTAAGGATCGCCTCTCCTTCCAACTTAAGAAAGTATGAACTCTTGAAACGTAGTTGTTCAAAAGGATTCTTTTATTAAGCAGAAGTGAAAACCATCCAGCTAAAGCACAATCTGAATGCCCTTAGGCAAAGCAGTAGGATTAAAGTGGTAGAGACCCCTCCCTTTAAGTCAGAATGCAGATTTCAGCCAATACACAAGTGAGAAGATGTTTTCTTTACTATTTCCTTTGAGAACCCGAACAAACATGCATTCCCACCACTACCCTTTAAAGCAGCGGTTCTCAACCTGGGGGTCGCGACCCCTTTGGGGGTCAAACGGCCATTTCACAGGGGTCGCCAAAGCCCTCTCTTGCCCCCCCCACGCCTTCACTCACCCTCACGCTCTGCTCTGTTGGATCGCCGGCCATTCGCTTACCCTGCCCACTCCCAATCTATTGCTGCCTCCTGAGTCCCAGCTGATGACTAGAGGAAAAAAAACTGTTTAAATTCTTGCCGCGGGGCTTTGTTAAATTGCTGGCTCGCCCCGCCCCTCCGCACCACTATTTATTGCCAATAAATAGTGGTGGGCGAGGGGCGGGCGAGCCAGCAATTTAACAAATGGTTCAGTGTTTTTTTGTAATTTTATTGGCCCGTGGAGCTTCAGCATAGGCTAATTAGCCCTTGATTAGATCGGCTCTGACTCTCAGTTGATTTGCTCTCAGCTGTTTTGCTCAGGGCTCTGCTGCTTGTTTGCAAAGAGTGCTGGAACAATTTTTTTTCCCCCAGCTATGCTGAAAAAGGAAACTGAAAGTAAAGCAGGCTGTTGGCTTTGCTGTTGCTGCAACGTTGGAAAATTAGGCAGGCAAATTTCTTTTCTTTTTGCTCACCAAAAAAGGTAGGTGCAAACAATGGGAAATTTAGGGCAAAAGAGGAGAGTTCAAGATTTTAAAACACAAAAGAAAAAAAGCTCTATTTAACTAGGAAATTGTAATAATTGAGATACTATTAATTGTATATTGTGTTAAAAGCAGAAATGGTTAAGTTGTGGTTTGGAGGAATATATGGGGGAAATTATTTGGTTTATTATTATTGGTAAATATAATTAATTGATTTGTAAGAAATTAGATTGCATGGAAATAATTGGAATATTCATGTTCATATTGATTAATATACAAAAAGGGTAGTTATATAACTAATTGATTTATATTAAAATGTTGAATTTATATTAAACAACTGTAATATTACATAATTAACCAATGTGAGGATGGATATAAAAATAGATGACAATGGGAAGGGGTATAATATAGAATAGAAGGGAAAAATTGAATTTGATTAAGATTAGAAATGAGGGTGAAGGGTAATATTGGTTTTTTACAAAAATAGATGAGGAATAAATATGGCAAAAAGGAAATATAGAAATTGTAAATTTAATTGAAATGACTAAACACTGTTTAAATTTGTGAACCGGCCAAATATTCTGTTCAAAGAAAATACATTGTATGTTTGTATGTGTGTTTCTAATTATTGTTATTTATTCATATTTGTTCTCTTTTATTCTTTAAAGTTTAACAATTCATTCTTTATCTTAATATCTTTATATTTGTTTGGGGTTGGCTTTCTTCCCTTTCACCTTTTTTATTGTACAGCAATCTTTCTCCTCAAACCTACCACCTCTCTCTTTTCTTTCCTTCTTACTTTCTCTTCCTCCCCCTCTTCTTCTCCTCCCTACTTCCTCTTCCTTTCTCATTCTCCTCCTCTCTTCCTCTCTTACCCTCACTCCTACTCTAATTTCTCTTCCCTTCCTTCATCCCTCTCTATTGCTGTATCCTTTTATGCATATGGACTACTCAGAAGGCTGAAAAAGTTATTTCTGACTAGTCCTCGCACTTTTGACCAGTCCTCGAACTTAGGACTGTCCTCTCATTTTATGTTTTTGCCCTATCTTGTCACCATGGTGAAGAGAAGCAGTTGTGAAATGAGTGACACGGTTGTTAAGAATGCTACAATGGGCATAAATGATGACCAGTCATAAGTGCGAAGACCGGTCAAAAGTGCGAGGACCTGTCAGAAATCACTTTTTTCAGCCCTCTGGATAGTCCTTTTGTGCACATGGAGTACTCAGAGGGCTGAAAAAGTTATTTTTGACTGGTCCTCGCACTTTTGACCAGTCCTCGAACTTATGACTGTCCTCACATTTTACGTTTTTTGCCCTATCTTATCACCGTGGTGAAGAGAAACAGTTGTGAAATGAGTGACATGGTTGTTAAGAATGCTGCACGGGCATAAATGTGAGGATGGTCATAAGTATGAGGACCAGTCAAAAGTGCGAGGATGAAAAAAGTCATCAGAAATGACTTTTTTCAGCCCTCTGAGTAGTCCCTATACACATAGCCATGGCCACCCGGTCACATGACCAGCTAGCCACGCCCACCCAGTCACATGACCTCCAAACCATGCCCACAAAATAAGCCACGCCCACAGAACCGGTAGTAAAAAAATTTAGAACCCACCCCTGGTTGGGGTCATCACAACATGAGGAACTGTATTAAAGGGTCGCAGCATTAGGGAGGTTGAGAACCACTGCTTTAAAGTGAGACAACCCACATGGCTGGGGGATAAAAATTCCTGCAGGTAAAGGGAATCTCAGGCTTCCTTGGCGCCAGGATATAGGTTGTAAAGTATCTGATGACACAGGCCATGCTAGTAAATCGAATTCAAGTCCCCCCTTCCTCCGCTTGAATGGCAGTATCACTTTTAGGGATCTGACAGAGGGAGGGAAAGGGGGAAAAAGAGAGAGAGGGGGAAAAGAGAAAGAGGGAAAGAGAAAGGGAAAGAAACAGGCAGAGATGGAGGGAGAGAGAGAAAGAGGGGAGAAGAGAGACGGAGGGAGGGAAAGAGAAAGAGGGAGAGAAAGAGGAGGAGGGAAAGAGAGGGCGGGAAAGATAAATGATATTACAAAAGTTTTTCTTTTTTATTGTTGCTAAACGTAATAGTTCAAAAGCAGAAAAAAATGAAGGGGCATAAAAGTGCATTTATCACATTTTTCTTAGAACAGTTAGTTGAACTCTGCCTTATTTATCATTATTTTAGGTAGTAAAACCTCAGTATTCAGGTTAAATTGCCATGTTGGCACATTTGCGATAAATAAGTGGGTTTAGGGTTGTAGTTTAGGGACTCGGTCTCTAAAAGGTTTGCCATCACTGTCCTATTATCCATCAAGAAGGAAACAGCAGTCAGGAATGGGTTAAATCCATCTGTTAACTGCTTCAACTGAGTCTGCAAACTGTTAAGCCACGCCTCTTCCTGTTGCTTGCCAGCTTTTTAGACTCAGTCTATCTGGACAGAAGTGTTTTCTCTGAGCTGTCCATTCACTGACTGTTTTTTTCTTGGAAAAAAAGTTTTTATTTGTATTTTCTACTTGCTGAGGTTTGACTTCTTATCAGGTAAACCTTTAGTTTCTTTCCAGCGTGAAAGGTGATTCAGCCTGAGCCCGCTGAGGGCTGTTGGGGCGGCGAGAGGTCGCTCAGCTGAGGACCTCTGGGCAGCCCTCACAAGCTTGCCTCACAGTAGCTGACCTGCAGGGGACTCTAGGACTCAGTTCATCTGCAAATTAAAAAGAGCTTTGATCCGGTCATCACTTTGTTCAATTTTTAACAAAATCTTTAACAAAATTCTATCTATTCTATTTTGCACTTATTTCTAAATTTTAGATCATATATACAACTAATACCATCTTTAAAAAAATTAACACATATTTACTTAATCGAAACAATAACCCTTCTATTAACCCACCTTAATTCTTAATTCAATTAATAACTCATAATACAACAATTCTTACCCTAAATCCTCACTATTGACAATACAATTCAAACATATTTATGTTTCATTATACTCATTAAATCTTTATTCCATTATTACTTTATAAAATTTAAATCTTATCTTTTTAATTTTAGAAATATAGCATTTTAACATTTAAACATAGTTCTTAGTTCAAATAATGCTCTTTAACAC